ATTCGCAATTTATCGCATCAGCAATTTTTTAAAACAAATTTCCGCTATTTTTGCGGTTTTTTGCGATTTGTCGGATTTCCGGATTGTCGGATTTTTTTTTAATAATAATAATAATTCAAATGCTGTTGAGATAGAGAGCCTGACAATATCTATGACAGCCAACACAATCGTTGTCTAAAAATTTAATTGCAACCTGTTTTTGTTGTTCAGTATTATCTGCAAGTCAATCAGCTTAAGTCTGGATTTAAACTCTTTGACTGATGTAGACTCCACTACCGATTCCGGTAAACTGTTCCATCCAAAGATAACCCTGTTTGTAAAGAAGTGTTGTGTACTTAAAAATTTTTTAACAATCTCTGATTTAAAACACTATGTATACACTAACACTATGTTTATAACCTCTAATACTGGATGCTGGACCTGGTGTATTGATTGAATGCATTTGTATCTGAACTTTCTTTATATCAATAGATTTAAAACCTTTATATAATTTATATTGTTGTATAAGGTCACCTCTTAGTCTTCGTACTTTTAAAGTTATTAAATCTAATATTTTTAGTCTTTGATTATATCTCAGATGTCTTAACTCTGGTATCAATTTAGTTGCTCTTCTTTGAACTTTTTCAAGTTCTTCGATATCTTTTTTATAATAGGGGTTCCAAGCTTGAATCGCAAACTCTAAATGAGGTCTAACGTGCAATAAAGCATTTTCATTAGGTACTTATCTTTATATCTAAAAGTGTTATTTAATATTGCAAGCATATTGTTTGCTTTACTGGCAGCATTCCTTACTTGTCTTTCCTATTTCAAATCCTTGGATATATAAACGCCTAAATCTTTTTCAAGAGTAGATTTTTCAATTTCTTTTTGTTCGCCATTATTTTTCATGAAATAAGTGCACCAAAGTGCATTATTTTACATTTCTCAAAATTCAAACCCAGTTTCCATTCAACAGGCTAATCTTCAAGTTTTTTTATTTCATTTTGAAATGATTTTGAATCAACCTGGTTATAAATAGGAGCGATTATTTTATTGTCATCGGCATACACATACATTTATTAAGTAGTCTGCTTAATAAATGAAACAAAGTTCTGTTCTTACTTTTTTGAATTAGTAACTTAGATTTTTTTCGAGTTTTCTATTAATTGCGAGAATAACAATAAGTATAACATTTAATTAAATTTAAATGTTATACTTATAAATAACATAACATAAATTGGATTTCTAGAGTTTATGGAAATATTAGGCGGCATTAGCGATCTTTGCAACAAATAGCGATTTTTTGATAAAATTGCGTAAAGTTGCGAGAATAACGATAAAAACGCAAACAACAAAATACAAAATTTTGAATAAAATGGCAAAATGTAGAATCATTTCCAAAGCAAAACAATAAACCAGACAGTCTTTTAAAAAAAACATTTAAATAACTGATTTAAATAACATCAAGATTAATTTAAAAAAACAATAATAAATAAAGTTAAAAAAAATAAAATTAACTAAAAAAAAATTTAGCACTTTTCATAACCACAACAGGCGCTAATTTATTTAATATAGCGAATTTAGTAGGGTGGTTCAAATAAGCACACTTTAAAATTTAAAATTATAAGGTCGACTGTGAAGAAAAGTGTCTTGATAATATTGATGAAATAACATCAAGTTCTTTTTTTTTAGTATATTTTTGTTATTTTTTTTACTTTAAATTTTTTTTCAGTAATTTTTTTTTTTTTAATTTTTTTTATTGTTGTTAAATTTGTTATTTTTTTACTTTAAATTTTCAAAAATTTGAGTCTGTTAACAATAAACCCCAAAAAATGTTTACCCTTTTATGCCATTAACGTGAGAGCAACGAGTTTATAACATTTATATATACATTTTTTTTTTTTAACGTTTTAAACTAAATTTAAGTTCATTAACAAGTCTCTAATGTCATGCAATAATCTCTTAGTGTTCAGAAAATATGACCATATAAATTTTGAACAACCTCTTTAATTATTTAGGGGATTTAAAATATTATCTTTAATTAAGTTATAAGTTCGTCTGACAATCAAATTCTGTTCCTCATTCAAAAGTTCGGAGCGAAAGCTAATATAATTCTTTTTTGGTGAATCAGTAATCAAACGACACGGACTTCATTGTTAGAATTTGTCGAAGAATAACAAAGAAAATTAAGTTTTTATAAGTAACTTTAGTCTACAAAATGATTTATATTTTTCAGACAATATTATCAAATTTTTTTATTTTTTAAATTCCATTTGGTCATTGATTATTTATTTTTTTATAACATTCTTTTTTAAAACATTTAAGACATTCTTTAATGCAATGGCTGATTTTTAATTTTTATAACTTTTTATTTTTCTAAATTTGCTGTTACAAATAATTACTTTTCTTTTGTAAAATATAAAAATGGCAGCGACAAGAAGAAGACAAAAATAGTCTTATTGCCAAGCTCCTAAATATCCGTACATAACAAAGTCATTAAAAACTTGTCATTAAAAATTGATGATCATGTGTTTTTCTGAAGTTTTGAAGTTAGTTTTAGTTGACAATTATAGTTTTGTATTTTTTAGGAATATGTCTAAAAAATTAATATATAAGTAGCTGAAATACCAAATTCTCCTGTTTTCGTAAGCTATTTTATAAAAAGAGAAATTTTTTTCTAAAATAACATACTAAAACAGAAGAAATATTGCATAAATAACAGAAATTTTAAATAATTTTATTTTTTTAACATATAAATAAAATGGTTTTAAAAAATATTATCCATAAAAATATATATTAAACAAAATACAAGATTTAATTTTAAATTGATTTAAATACAAGTATTGCGTGGTATTATACCACGTCAAAAGCAATGTAAAAAGATTTCATAATTTGAAAATGCGGAGGTTCCGTTTTCACCAAACCGATTAGAATCACTTAATCAACAGCAAAATACAAGATTTAATTTTAAATTGATTTACAATATATATATATTGTAGATCTACAATATTTCGTTTAGAATCTAGTACAGTTCTAATTAAATTAAAACGCCTCTTCTTCCTGTTTAAACATATTAAAAATCTTTTTAAAAAACTTTTCCGAAGCTTAAATATTTAGCTATTTTAATATGTAAATGCATGGCCAAAATCACAAAAACACAAGTTGTATAAGGTTACTAACCGTATACTTAATTCATAGCAGTCTTCTTTCAAATTTTCTTGTTTTTTACATTTAGAAAAACTTTCAGAAAAATTATTTTTAAATCATTTTTTTAACTACGCAGCCTGATTTTTATTATTGCTACAAAAAGTCGGAATCAGTATTTTGTTTCGCAATGTTACAGGTGTCAATTTGAATAAAGCTACATAGCCTTAAAAAAAAGATTTTTTTTTAATGTCAAATAATAGCTTTAATGGTATTTTATTTTACATCGGTGGCAAAATAGAGCACTTTTTGTTGATTTTGAGACCTATTTTTTATAGATTTTTGATGGGCATAAAATTCTTTATCATAATAATTAGTTAATAAAAACCAGCAAGAGAAAATGCATTTAGAGTTAGTTAAAACCTTGTCATACTAAATATTATTAAAGTTGCAGATAGAACTTAGGCACATTAGCAGTTTGCTTTTTTTTACGCTATATTGCTGTAAATTTCAGTTTATTTTGATCATCATGATAGTCTAATAAAATGATAAAGTCAACTTTGGCAAATATGTCAGTTAGAACCTGGTCAAACCAACGTGACGTACTGCTATCAATATGATTTCCTCAATAAAAAAATACTTTTCTCGTTAACATAACTGATATGTTTTTAAACATACATACATTATTTAGTCTTCCAGGATTACATATCATATAACGGCATAGTAATAATATATTATCTCATTAAAATAGTTTATACATACATAAATTGTTCTTTCAGATTTTAAAGAAACAATCAAGGTTGTTTCTAAAAAATTCATTTAGTGAAAAATTCATCGTAAAGTGTAAAACTTTAAAATCTGCTCATAGTCAACGTAATAATAATAAAAAAAATTAATTAGTCTTGACACTTCTCTCTCTATCGTAAATTATTGTCTAACTTTTCAGCATCCCTTTTTCATATAAAAGTTTTCATTACCTAAGATCTTTAAAGATTGCTAAATCTCTATTTATCGTAAATGAGCCTGAAAAAGAGCCTTAAAAAAAAGTAACTGGGCAATTGGAATGATACAGCAAAATTTGCAAACATATCATCAAAGAAATAATTCAGTTTAGATTGCTTACTATTGATAAAGCCGATTTACTTTAACAGAAAAGAAAAAAGTCTCCAAAGATGTCTAAGAAAATGCTGATTGTAGCACTTAATGCAAATTCATGAAAGATAAAAAACTTATGAAAATTAACTTATTTATTTATATTACTTATAACTTAACTTATTTATTTATATTACATAATATGTATTTTGAGATATGTAACACATATCTCAAAATACAGCTGTTTTTTGCGTTTTGAACCGTTTTTTAAAACTTAACGAGGCCTAAGGGAGGCACTAGGACATCTTGAAAATTTGTTTGAAAGTTATCAGACTTGATTTACGTATATTGTTTTTCAAAAAGAAAAAAAAAACTTTTTTGTGTGAATATAACAGCTCTTATAATAATTGAAACGAGTACTTTAGTACAAGTACTTTAATCATACCAAATAAATTATTTTATGTAAAAAATACACAAAACGTTTTTAAAATCACCAAGAAAAAAAAGTTCCACTGCAAAGAAAAAGGTCTGCTTTCCATGTTTATACCACTCAAAAATATAATGTATATCGATAAAATATATTACTCATGATAATATTTGATAAGTTATATATTATCTAAACCTTAACTTTACCTAGATTTAATATTACATATTGTGACTTTTGTATAGATACAAAATACAATAAAAAATTGAATCTTTTTATGTGTTATTTTTTATCCTAAAATGCAATACTCTGATTTTTTTTTTTACAAAACTATTTTCAAAAAACAAAACTAGCATATATATATATATATAAATATTTTTGCTCCAAGAATTTCATTGGTCGTATTCACAAAATATAGCAAACAGCAAATATAAATGGAAACATTGCGCAACGTAACGTCGTCATTAATTAACTTTCAAATTATTTAAACTTAGTGCGCTGTCTACTACAAATTGTTGTTCAACCATGTGTTGTTTTTTGTTTCCAGTAGCTGGAGCAGAAGCTGTTGATCGACCAGCGTATCTAATTGGCGATAAAAGAAAAAAATATTATTTAAAATAGATAAAACATAAGACGTAGGCAGAAAGAAACCCTAGACAGCGGTTTTTTTACGTTTGAGAAAAACATTAAAATATTATGCTTACACTATAGTAAAACAAATTCAAAAAGAGTACTTATTTGAAAATACTTTATCGGACAAAACTAAGTTGGACAAAACTTTAAGTTGGACTTATTTTAGCTTTTTAATCAACATCCTCTGCCACTGTATTTACAATGAAAATAAAAGTAAGGTAAATAAAAGAAACTAAACATAATAAAGGCTATAATCAGAAATTTTATATCACCTTGAAAAAAGTTTACTATTTATGTCCGACTTTAATTTTGACAGATAAGGTATTGATCCATAATGATTTAAAACTTACCTGGCACGTCGAGAATTTCCAGTCGATGTTTCAATTCGAGGTTGCATATGCTGCCATGCTCCATGATTTTTATGCTCTTCTTGTACCCATTGCAGGGAAGCATTTTGGTATTTAGCGCATTCTTTACGCACCAGATCAAATGGAAACGGTGACAGCTTAAAGCAAAAATATACAACCGAAATTATAAACTTCAATATTCTGAAAACATTGATAAGCATTATTATAGTTAAAGTTAGTATTACCGGAACCGGAGTTACCGGAACACCAGTAAATACTGTAAAATGTTGCGTTTTTACTTAATGATAACCTTTTTACAAACAACAGGTAGTATCAGAAAAACCGATAAACTTGAAAAGTCCATTAACAAAATCTATGGAATTGTTATTTAGGGTAGATTAGGGAGCACCTTGGTAACACGAGCATACCAAAACAATTCTAAGATGTAAGCAATGAAGTTAAAGTTGCTTTGCATTTTTGAATCGACTTTATTTGGTGTTAACAGGAATCAGTGCACTTAGCATAAATTTATATGCAGTAACAAACGGCTCTCATCTACTTTAAACGCTATTTAATTTTTGCGTTGTTAAAATATTATAATTACGCAAAAAAGAATCCGTGGCGCATAATTTGATGTTAAAATAATAAAATTTAATTTTTCTTAAAGGAAAATATGTTGGCTAGAAATCCGTTCCATTTTTGTTTGAAAAACATGACATAGAAACATTTATTTTTACTTTATTTAAAGATATATTATTTTTGTGCATTATGAGCATGCTCAAATTACCCAGTGTTTTTCATTGAAATGAGCTTGTTTTAAGTCCTAAAATTGCAGTGGTTTTTATTGCTTTTTAAATGAAAACAAAACATATTAAATTTTTTTTATAATTTAATAATACTAAATATATTTCTGTAATTTAAATTTCGTAATTTAAATTTCAAATTTTTACCGTTTAAATGTTTGAGTTAATAAAATTGAAAAAATATCGAATTACATTTTTTTTGTATAAAAAAAATTCAATAAAATAAAAAGTGGTTTAAAATTTGATCTTTTAATGAAAAGTTTTGGTAATAACAAATCATTGTATTCTGCAAATTAGTTTTAATTGTAAGGTTAATACTTTTTTACTTAATGTTATTTTCTTGAGCTAATTGTGTAAAAAAGTGCTCATATTACCAAGTGGTTTGGATAATATGAGCTCTTTTGCTACTTTTTTAAAACCTCCGTGTTTTTAAGAAAAACTTTCGGGTGCCCAAATATCTAAGCGAATCACGAGAAGTGATCTCTAAAAATTGATTCGCAAAAATTTTAAACCCAGCATAATTATTTTTGAAAATATTTCAATAATCGTTTAAGGTGCTCATAATACCCTAATCTCCCTACATCATATTTTCAGAAAACATAACAATAATTTTTAAAAAGAGAATTTTTGCAAAAAGTCACGTTGAAAAATACGATTTCCACCACCTTCATTATAAACAATACTTACAACAAAATTTTGCACTATTTTTGCACATTAAAGATTCATTGCCATCTGGGTTATACTGATAGCATGAGATTGTGCATCATTTAACTAGTTTGCACATCATACAATCTCCAACAATAATTTAAATATATAGTAAATTAAAAAAAGATTAAGAAAAGACTTCAAGAAAAAGAATTTCCAAGAATAGACTTCTGTAAATCAAAGTCTGTAAATTTCAGGATTAATACTTGCACCCATTTCACAAAGAAATCTTTTTAAAAAAATGGTTTTATTTCTACTGTTGATAAGATGAACGATAAAACTCAAGTATAACTTTTTTTAAAGTTGTTTTTTATCAGATTATTACTTGAACAACACTTTTGACAAAATTAGAAAAATTTAAAACTTTGCATAATTTGCTTTACCATATGTGTGTATGTATATCTCTTAAATGTTTTTTTGGAATCACTATAAACATTAAACCTTATTTTTACAGACAATAAGTAATAGAATATTGTAAAAGAATCAGCAAACAGAACATTAAAAAAAAAATTTTTTAAATAGACTTTGGTGGAACTTGATTTTCAATGAAGGATATCTCACCAAACGTTTTCTTAAACATTTTTCTCTTAGCAATTTTAAGTCATTATTAGACTTCTGGGCAACTAACTTAATCACATAAGATCCAGGTCAATTTTGTTTGATGACTTAGTCAAGATATGATAAGTGAAGACTTGTTGTAATGTGTTTATAAATATAAAAAAAATAATATTCTTAAAGTCAAAAACTTTTATATTTTGTTATTTATTCTTCAAGAAATACTCTTAATTTACAGTTTATCTTCATAAATTTATTTTTAACTAAATTACCAGTTATTATAGTTTTAGATTTGTGTCTTTAATTTATAGTGGTTTGAAAGTATTTGGTAAATATTTTGGTAATATTGTTATTTTAAGTACATTCAAATTGCTTATAAAACGATTTCCTTTTTACATGAGCTATTTTTAAGTAGAAATTGTCCAACTCATATGCTTAGAAAATAAAATGTAAACCTAGCAATGTATGCTTGTTACCTAGTAACCTAGCAATTCAATATTTAAATATATTAAAGCAGTCACCTGTTCAATTCTAGTTATAGCAATATCATTATCCAAACCACGATGCTTTCTTTCTTTTATCAATTCATAGTAGATCTTACCAGAACAAAAAATAAGCTTTTTAACATCCTTTGGGTTTTTTACACAAGGCCCATCTTCAGGAATTAATCGTTTGAAAAATGTTCCTTCAACCATCTCTGACAAGTTAGATCGAGCAGCTTCAAGCCTAAGTAAGCTTTTAGGTGTCATAATGACCAACTATTTAAAATATAAAGATTTTTATATATTCTTATTTTTTTTTTAAATAATAAAAATTTTGTATTTTAAAGTAAAAAGCTAAAAATTAAATAAAAATATAAATTAAATTAATAATAATAAAAATATAATATAAAATTTTTATTATTAACAATTCATTGAATAAATTTTTGATAAAATCATGCAAATAGTGATTTTACAATCCAATATAGACTTTTAATACAATATAGACTTAACACCAGCTTTAGCTAATGTGAAATATTTATCTTCAAATGAAGTGCAAAAAATCATTTGTTTTTTTTAAAGGTAAAAAATTACTTACAGGTTTTCGAAAACTAAGGTATACTTGTCTTCTAAGGACATGGAACAAATTAGCAGGTGTTGTTATGTTGCAAATCTAGAAGAAATAAACAATAAAGAGCAACTGTTAAAAAAACAAGAAGAGATAGATATAGATGTTCTAGAGGAAGTTGCTACAAAAATGTGTAAAAAAAGCATATCAACAACAAAAAAAACTGATGGGGCAAGATTATATCTCCTAGATCTGCATTTGATAAGTAACTACAATTATGCTAGTTATAACAAATGTTTACTAATACAGTTAGCTACAGTAGTGAAACATAAAAATAACAAAAATCGTTACTTACAAACCAATTAGTATGATAGTTTTGACAAAGTTCAAAATTCTCTTCAGGGTAGTCCTAGATAAAAAAAAAAAATGAAAGTTATTCTTAAAAAAAATTAAATATATATATATATATATATATATATATATATATATATATATATATATATATATATATATATATATATATATATATATATATATATATATATATATATATATATATATATATATATACCACTACAATCAGTTAAAATTTAGGCAATTTTAAATTGCACTTTCTCTAAAACTTTATTTTAATAATTAAACAATTTAATTCTAACAATTTTTTTTTTATGATATTTAGTGTTTATTTTATTTCAACAAAAAAGATCTATATATGACACAAACAATTTAGTTTTTTGTACCCAAATATATCAAAATCACAATTCGACTTAATGTCACTTTTTCTGTAGCATTAATCTATAAACTTGTCACACTATTTGCACATTCGCATATACAGAAATTTGTTGCATTATTTGCACATACGACTCTTTTCCTTCATACTCCCTTTATTATTTCCTAGTAAGATTTGAAGATTTGCTGCTCAGTACAGTTTGTTGGATTAGCATTTTTTGGAAAGACATTTTTTTTGGAAAAAAAAAGGAGAGCTTTTACAGCCACAACTGCAAAATATCTACCATGCAAGGAACTTGCAAATTTTTTGACTTAAATGTATTTAAACATCAGACACTTTATATCAATTGGGCTGATAATAGCATTGATTACCTGGAAACATTGAGTGATCATTTTTACAGCATGTTTTATTGCCTTCTTTTATTGCCAAGCATTCAGATTTTCCTTTTTCAATACTCTGAATGAATGATCTAGCACTGTTGAAAAAGATGAAAAAACCTTGTAACTGAGCTGGATATGGATGAATCGAGTCAACTATTGGTTTTTTGGAAAACTATTTTGTCATTAATTCTTGATTTTTTACCCCTCCCTGTTTCCTGTTTATAGTTTTGTTCTCTTTATATCATTTTATGACAATTTTAACAGTTGATTTTGGAACTTTAAATGCTTTTGAAATTATTGAATATGAGCACAATGGATTTTCTATATAAAATTGTGTAAATATATATTGTTTATAGAATAATTTTTATGCACGTTGAAATAATTTAAAGGATTTTGTTCTATAATTGAAATTTGAAGAATTATATTTATCTAATAAATATATTTATATACAAAAATATTTATGTTTTGATTGAAGAAAAATGGGTAAAAAAGATGGTCTGAGTGAAAAAAAACGAGCTGTTATTGTGGCATTACACAAGACAGGTTATTCAACACGGAAAATTACTTTAAAAAGCTAATGTTTATTAAAAATGCTTGCATGAAAGCATCGCAAAGAAAGTATGAAACTGGCTGTAATCAGAGTTGTCATTGTTCAAGGAGGCCTAGAGCAAAGACAAATTTATCTGTGTTCAAAGTAAAAAAATTTGTACTCTGCCTGCTCATTTAATTTTTCAAGGACTTAGTTCCATGCAAGAAACACCAGTATCTGTTTCAATCATAAAATAATATCTTTGCAATTACGACTTTAAAGAATGTGTTGCTGCCAAAAAAACCATTACTATGCAAACAATGATCTTAAGTCTTTGTTTAGAGATGAATTAAAGTTTGAAAATTTTGGAAGAAATCACTGAAAATATGTTTGTTTGTTAATTGGAGAATGCATGATAAAACAATGGGTGATTCCAAGACATTAGCATGGTGGAAGGTCAGCTATGGTCTGGGGATGCTTTACTAGAAAAAAAGTTGTCGGCCTTGTGCATATTAAGGGCAAGAAAAAACATTGCAGTCAAAGAAAAACAAAAAGAAATAAAATATATGGAATACCCTCCTCAGTCGCCCAATTTAAACTTGTTTAAATCAAGTTGTAGTGGAACAGGTTAGATAAAAATGTGAGAAAAATGCAACCAACTAATCAAAAACATCTTTGTTAATTCATACAAAAGCTTGAATCAAATATCATCTTAATCATTGCAGAAATTGATTGCAAGGATGCACAGAATGTATTGCTGTTATAGAGGATACTTTGAAGAATCAAAAATTTTATTTAATTTATCAAGAGAAACCAAACTTTTGACCGGTAGTGTAAACAAAACCTAAATCCACATACAAAAAAACTATTTATGGATGCATCATTTAAAAAACAAATCATTAGAACTGGTGTGGTTTTTGAGAAAATGCAATGTAAAATCTTCAAAATTTCTATCAACCATTGTGACATATATAAATATGTATATACATATATAAATATATACTTTAATATATATATATATATATATTTTAATATGTATGTGTGTATATATATATATATATATATATATATATATATATATATATATATATATATATATATATATATATATATATATATATATATACATACAGTACATTGGACAAAACATTTGCAACCAACATCGAACAATGCTTAAAAGTGTTCCTAATTTTATATGTCTTAAAAACAAAACAAACTATACAACCACAGCAAACAGTTCAGGAGTCTGGAGTCATAGCATGCCATGACATGAGCAATCAGCTGACAGGTGACAGCACACAGGCAGAATTTTGTTGACAAGTGCCATTTTGCAGCGGACAAAATAAGTGCAACTATTTTGGTTTGTTTCATTTTGGTCCGTGTCAACGTCACGGAAGTTTTTTAATAATTAAAGGAAGTATCCAGAAGTTTCCAGAAGCATGCAGAAGCTTCCAAAAATTTCCAGAAGAAACATCTGAAAGCATCCAGAAGCTTCCAGAAGCATCGAAAAGAAGCATCTAGAATCTTCCAGAACAGGTACACACAGGTTCATTTTACTATATAAGAGACATGTAAACCGACATGTAATTCAGTCAGTATATGGAAGTCAGTATTATCAAAGTTTATCGAAGTGAGTTTTATCAAAGTGTTTTATCGAAGAACATCAATACAAGAAGTGAAATACAACAAGAGTTTCATTACATCAATACAGTCCACATCCAACTAAGACATTGTGTTCCACAGAGCATTATTGTATCATCACAAGGTAAATGTAACACAGTAAGCCTTGAGAAGCGTGATTATTTATTTTTATCATTTTTAATGACTTCAAGTGCAAAAATGGCTCCCGACAGTCTTGGATTGGAACTAAGAAAGAAAATTATTGCCGATTACATAAGTGAAATTTCATAAAAAAGTATTTGTGATAAATATCGCATGAAAAAATGGACCGTATCAAGACTATGTTTCAAATATTGTTCTACGGGGAAGTTGGCAGCAGATAACAAAGGTGGAAGACCACGTTCCACCATTTCTAGAGAGGATTCTATGATCCTCAGATCCGTCAAGAAGGATCCCTGGATATCATCAGTCGAGATACAAAAGCAATTAGAGCTGCCTGTATCGGACCGAACAATCAGACGACATGCTGTTGAAGCCGAAATTGTTTTCTCGACACCCTGCAAAGAAAATGCTGATTTCATTAAAGAACCAGAAGAAAAGACTCCTGTTTGCTACATCTCATATTGACTGGAATGAGCAGAAATAGCGAACTGTCCTGTTCAGTGATGAATTGAAGTTCAACATCATTGGGAGCGATGGCATTTGTCGACCGGCCAGAAAACGCCTCAATTTACATTACTGCCATAAGACCATAAAGCATAGTAGAGGCAATGTAATGGTCTGGGGGTATTTTTCTGCTAATGGTCTAGGTCCAATACATCAAATCGATGGAATAATGGACCGTTTCATAAATAAAAATATCCTGAAAGATGTTATGTCACCTCATGCTGAATGGAATATGCCAATAAAATGGGTATTTCAGCAAGACAACGATCCGAAACACTGCAAAAATAGTCAAGCAGTGGTTTCAAGACAACCACCTATCGGTGATGGATTGGCCGCTTCAATCTCCGGATCCCAACCCTATCAAAAACCTGTGGGAGATCGTCAACCACAGAATTAATCATGAAGGTGTTCGTAATAAGGATCAACTGTTTGAACAAATCCAAAAGGCCTGGGCAGCAATTCCACAAAGTTTCATTGATCACCTGATTGAATCTATGCCTCGAAGATGCAAGGCTGTGATCCACAACAAAGGATTCCCCACGAAATATTGATAGAGAAATACAGCTTGGTCAATATTTTGTGGAGTTGCACTTGTTTTGCCCAGAAGGAAATCAACTTTTTTTAATACTTTTGATTAATTTATTAATTTTCCTGTGCAAATAATGAACTTTGTGATGAATAAAACTTGACGAATGTTGTCTTTAAACAGTTACATTTTATTCAGTTTATTTCTCTAAATTGAAAAAAATACAGCACTTTTATATAAAGAAACTGCTGCACTTTTATATAAAGTTAGCATTATTTGGTTGCACTTGTTTTGTCCGATACTGTATATATATATATATATATATATATATATATATATATATATATATATATATATATATATATATATATATATATATATATATATATATATATATATATATATATATATATACACACACACATAATTACATACACATATATAAACACAAACACATAAATACAATAAATATTTAATTGAATATTATTAAAAATTTGCCTAAACATTTCTTCAAGAAATCAATTATCACTAAATATAAATTCAACATTTTTTACTTTAAGAAAATAAGCACTTCACACAAGTGTGAGGCTGTTGAATATTATATTTTAAAATGTTACAGGGAAAGTATCAGGATCTTCTTTAGTCATCTGCAGGAAACGCTCCAATCTTGCACTAGAGTGCTCAGGGCCCTAAAAAAAACAACCAAAATATTAAAAATATAGTAAATAAGTAAAAAAAAATGAAGCAAAAAAAGGAATTAAGATAACTCATTAATTCAAATAAAATTAATAATAATAAAAAAGAAAAAGAAGAAAAAGATGGAAAAGAAGAAGAAACTGTGTTTTACAAAAAAACAAATTCTAGCTGTTAATTTTTGATCTTCTTTTTTTTTCTTTACAACCTTATTGACAGCTAGTATATTATTATTAAAACAAATAATACAAAAAATACTACATGTTAACCTTACCATTCCTTCCATTCCATGTGGTAGAAGCATTACTAAACCACTTTGTCTGACCCATTTATCTTGACCACTGCTTATAAATTGATCAATAATGCACTAATAAAACATACTTTTAAATTAAAAGAAAATACAAAACCATAAATCAAAATATTTTAAAAGGAAAATGTTACTGTATAAATACACATATTGATATACACTTTCCTCCAAAACATAAGCAGCCAAATAAAAAATTATATTTTTTTCAACTTCAATTACTAAATGCAGCATTTTTTCTAAAAACAATAATCTTTTATTTTTAGGTAGTTGTATTATGTACATATTGAAGTTGAAACTGCAACAATAGAATCTTTTATTTGGTTGCTTATGTTTTAAGGGCACTGTATAAAAGTGTAAAAAAACAACGCTTTTTTGAAAACATCTGCTCTCAGATTCTAAATGTGTTTTATATATTAGCTATCTAAAACCCAGGCCTATCAACTGTTTAAACTGTAAGAAAAATTGGAGGCCAATTAGTTCAGAAGACTTTGCAAATGTTTGTTTGTACAGTTTATGTAGATTTACTTAATGTTGGAAAAAATGAACTTTTTCTTAACACAAAACTTATTTTAAGTGTTTATTTTATTATGCCTTTGAGTGTTAATAATTGAACTACTCAACCGAAACAAAAATGTTTAAAGACAAAAAGATCCAGAAGAATGTATAAAGTGGCTATATGCTAAACCAAGAAGTAACATTCTTGATAGCAAATATATTGTTGTTCAATCTAAACATTTCTCTTTAAATTTCAAAAAATAAATATTTATGGTAAGGAATGACCCTCCTCTCCTCTATCTATATTTTTGTATTAAACTCAACCTTGTACTGACTGCATTACCGAAATCAAGGACTACACCTTCAACAACTTCCAGTGCAAGAAATGTACAAGTTGATCAACTTGAAACATTTACAGTCATAGACAATTATGCATTATAATTATGTAATTATTATTCACCAAAAAAAAAATACCAAGATTTATTTAAGTTAATAGTTGTTTATAAATGTGATGAAAAAACTTTCAATTAACTGAATTTTACAGTGGTGTACCAAGTTTTGTTTGTTAACCAAGAATTTCTTACCAAGTTACCAAGTTTTGTAACCAAGCTTTGTTTTGTTAAATTCATTATCTTAAAAAATTGTTAAAAAAAATTTTTTTATTGATTTTTTTTAATCTGTACTTTTTATTAGGTTTATAATAAATCTTTCTTCTAATTTAAAAAAGAGAAGTATCATAGTTGATGCTATTGTTGTGAACAACTTGATCAAAAAACCATGTAACCCACTTCTAAAAAAACCATGTGACCCACTTCTAAAAAATGGTCGAATTTGATTGAAGCTATAAGATATTTGACTAATGTTTAATTATTGAGAAAAAAATAAGTTCTTCGAGAAAGTTTATCTACTATAAATCTCGAAAATTAGTGATAGATTGTATTCTACAGATATTATTGTTTGTGGTTTTAAATATTGGTTGCTTTATTTAATGCCTCGATTTAGATTTATGGTATGAAGTAGCTAATTCTATACTTAGATCAGATTCAAATGCAAATGAAAGCTGTGTTGTAATAATATGTGACAGTAATAAAGTCATTGTTAAGTTTTTTATCAACACATCCTAATATAGAGCAAATTAATGTTAAACCTAACATAGAGCAAATAATGTTAAAAGAACTATTTCTAAAAAAATTTATTGATGCCTGGAAAATTATTAATGTTAACAAACTTGGTGATGATAAAAGGTCAAGAGATCCACTGTGTTATATCATTGAATCACCAGATGATCTTTGTCTGCAACAACTATGCAAAGCTTAAAATTTCTATAAACATCAAAACAGCAATTGAAGTATTTTTTGATAGAGATACCTATTTTATTAATGTGCTACTATTGTGTTATTAATGTGCTACTATTGTGTTATTAATGGTGAGTTGTTAAGTCTGCATGTTTACCACACATTATAGAGACTTTTTTTCTTATAGGAAAAAAAGATTTTGCATTCAAATTTTTATTTTCTTTAAAATTAATTAATGTGGTAAGGGTCCTAATTAGCTGCAGATAAGCTTACAATAAAAAGTTATAAAGTATTGAACATTAATCATTAACTCAAAACAAAGTTTTGCCAGATTTTTATTTTCCATTACTTACTAAATATTATTGAAGTAAAATATTATTGAAGTAAAATATTATTGAAGTAAAATATTATTGAAGTAAAATATTATTGAAGTAAAATATTATTGAAGTAAAATATTATTGAAGTAAAATATTATTGAAGTAAAATATTATTGAAGTAAAATATTATTGAAGTAAAATATTATTGAAGTAAAATATTATTGAAGTAAAATATTATTGAAGTAAAATATTATTGAAGTAAAATATTATTGAAGTAAAATATTATTGAAGTAAAATATTATTGAAGTAAAATATTATTGAAGTAAAATATTATTGAAGTAAAATATTATTGAAGTAAAATATTATTGAAGTAAAATATTATTGAAGTAAAATATTATTGAAGTAAAATATTATTGAAGTAAAATATTATTGAAGTAAAATATTATTGAAGTAAAATATTATTGAAGTAAAATAGTATAAAATTTACTACTAAATTTACTACACTTACTAAAGTAAAATAGTATAAAATAAGTATAGTAATGGTCGGTGTAGAATAGACTTAAAAAAAAATTACCACGACCCATATTATATGGGTAAGTTTATTATTCCACATATTTTTAAGTTTAATTCCAAATGTAATAACATTTAATTGTAATTATTCAACACATTTTAAGCGGGTATTCTAAGTATTATTAAAAATACCCACTTCGGGTACTAATATCCAAACCGATGATAAATAGTGGTTTGTGCAAGGACTACTGAGGTCTAACTTTAAAAGGTAGACAATATGTATAGTTTTTCTACCGCTTACTAAAAAATATTGAAGTAAGGAATGCGTATAGAAATGGTTGGTGTAGAATAGACTTACCAAGAACCATATATTATGAGTTGGGACAGCATTATACTATTTAAATAGTATTTTAAATTAAAATCTTGTTTTGTTTAAATTTTATTTATTTTCTTTTAGATTTGGACTTGAATAGTGGGAAAACCATAAATAAAACCTTTACATTTTTAGATTTATGTTTACTAAACAAATTGAATTAATTTAATTTTTATTAATAAATTGAATTAATTTAATTAAATTAGTTTAAAATAGATTTAAATTTTTATAGATTCAAATTTTTATAGATTTAATTCTTTAATATTAAGCTACTTAATATAATACTTTATAAAAATAAAAATAAATAAAAAAAAACCTGAGCAGTATTCATAAAATCTCCAAATTGAGCTTCCCACATCACAAGCGAATATGGATTTGTCATGCTATATCCAAGTTCAAAACCTATACAAACATACTAATTTTTTAAAGTATACATTTAATTTACATTATAAATTTATACCTATTATATTTACATTTATTTGCATACACATTTTTTGTTATTTTTTATATTGTTTTCATTTAATAATTTCATTTAAAAAATATTTACATATTTAAAATAATACAAAAGGTATTATTTTTGTACTTATTCACAATATCACCGCTATTTCCGATTGGAGGAATATATTCAGCCTTCCACAATACCACCACTGTTGCCCTTTGAGTAATATATTCACTCTTTCACAAAATCATCACTTTTGCCCTTTTGAGTAATATATTCACCCTTTCACAAAATCACCACTGTTGCTGTTTTGAGTATTATATTCACCCTTTTACAATATCACGACTGTTTATCACCCTTTCATTTTCTGTAAAAATGAAATGTCATGAACATTTAGAGGTTATAAAAGACCTCTGGGTTCATACTAATACAAATTAAAAAAAAAGCTAACTGAGTTTAGACAAAATAGATAACTTCCAAAAATAAATTTACCACATTTTAAAAAACCAAATTCTAAAAAAACTGACAGAGGGGGTAAAAACTAATTTCTACTATTTTACAATAATAAAACCTTAACACTTTGTCATTGTATGTGCTTAAACATCTACAAATGCTAATTTCAAACATTTTGTAGACACTTGTTTAGACATTTTGTATATATATATATATATATATATATATATATATATATATATATATATATATATATATATATATATATATATATTATATATATATATATATATATATATATATATATATATATATATATATATATATATATATATATATATATATATATATATATATATATATATGCATTATTAAGTGTGTGTGTGTAAGTATACATATATAAAAATTGCTTATTAAATAAAAAATTTTGTTTTATACTTATTACAAGCATACAATTACAATGTTAATGTTACAATAATATACACAAAACAAGCATCATTTATTGCGACATGAAAAACTCTTTAGACATAAAATGATTTTTTTGCAAAAACTGTTGTTTTTTCTGTTTATTATCTCATCAATTAAATTTTTTTGACTTTGTGTTTTTCATTTAGTTACAATGATAATTAAATTTTTGAGAGAAAAAAAAATACTTTTGTGAGAGCTGTAAATTGCTTCCATAAAACGTTTTAGGGGAGTGTGGGCAAGAGTTTCCTGCCAAGGCATAAATATATATGTATATATATATATATATATATATATATATATATATATATATATATATATATATATATATATATATATATATATATTTACACACACACATACACATAGAGACTTTGGTGAAAGCAATTAACTGCACAGTTAGTGTGCAGTCAATTGTAGTAAAACCCTGTCTAAAACAGATTTTGCAGGATAGGCACCTTTTTCCAGATTACATTTGATTTATTAAATATGCATATGTCTGTTATTTTTGTTTTGGTTGAGTAGTATTTTAAGTACATTAACTCTGTACAGTACATTGATATAAAAAAAAATTTTACGCTTCTTTTTTGATTTTGATTTAAACAAACAAGAGGACTTGTATCTCATTTTGGTATTATGGAGTTATAGAAAATATATACATTCAATCTTCAATTTTTCTCAATTCTCATAATGGTTGATTTATGAACGCTACTTAAAATATTTTTTGACGGTTTGATGACTCATAAGTATTTTTGTAAGTAAAAATACTTATGAGTCAAAAACTGATCAATTTATGATTTATTTAAGAGTCAGGAAATCATAAAAAAAAAAGAGAATTTCAAATGCTTGATGTTTAATAATTATTATGCAAAACTTTGTTGCATAATTATGCAATGTTTTATTCTTGGGACATTTGTAGACCTTAGTGTCCATTCACATTTTCTGTAGTGTTTTGTTTTAGCATGACATGAAATATTGAGAGTTTCAAAATTTTGCATTTAATATTTAACTTAAAGCATTTCAAAAATAAGCTTAATTAAAGATAAAAAAAAATAAAAATAACTCTAGTGACAAAAAAAAAAAATAACAATAACAACTAAAGTGACAAAAAAAAAATTAAAAAATAAAAACTTAATAAACTAAAATTCAAATAAAAATAAAACATAAAATAAAACTCTAAAAGTCTAAATGAAAACTCAAAAAATTAACTCATAAGTCAAATTGAAAATATTTTAAACGTTTATATTTTGTTTGGAATAAATAACCTCGAAACTTTGATTTTTTCTAACAATTTTATATTAAGCAAAATCTTATAAATGAAGTAAAAAATTACTCTAAATTATCAAAGAATAATATATATAATATAAATTATTATTTATTTAAAAAGTATGTAATTTTAAATTAAATAAATAACTTTGACATTTAAAAATAACTTTTAATTAAATGTTTTATATATAAAGCAAAGTGCTTATAAATAATGACAAATTACTGTTAAAAGATTGTTTATAATAAAAACATTTTGTTTTAATTACAAAGTTAAACATTTTTTCTCATCACAAACAAACAAAAAAATTTTTAAATGTATATTTGATGCAGAATCCTCATCTGGTTACAGTTTTGTTCTAGCACATAGAGTTTTTAAATTATTTACATTTTTGTGTATTATAAAAATGTATATAAATATATGCAAAATGTTCTAGTGTTTAATAAATCACATGTAAATCACATTTAATTCAAACCAATTATTTTCTAAAAGTAACATATACATTAGGGTAGGCTGACAAACAACAATTTTTAAAAATTGTTATCCAATACCTCTAAATACATTCTATATAATAAAATAAAACTGGATATGAGAAACTTTAGAAAAAAATATTTTTTGGTTGAAACCCAACAACCTTTGTTATTTTTTAAATATAAACATACATTTTTTTTCTCTTTATTGTGGTTACATCCATCTCTTAACTCTTTAACTCCGAAACATTAACCTTGACAAACAAGGTCACTGTGCCGAGAAACAAGTTGATCATGATAATACTAGGGAGATGGTGGGAATGGGAATGTTTTTAGCCCCATCCTAATATACATCATACACTAATTTAGTACTACGCAAAAAATCTGTAAACAACTAATTTGTATAAAAGAGATCTTTTAACATAAATGTAAAATAAGAGTACAAACTAATTAAATTGAATTAATAGTGATTATTTAGTATATTATATTCATTCATTATTTTATAATATGATATATTCATATTATAATAGCATAACAGTATATTATTGTTGTTTCACATTACCAACTATTAAAAGCGTTGAAAGTATGATTTTCATTTAAAGTTTTGGTCTGGAATTTCACAATAAAATATTTAACAAAGGTCAGCCACCATGCTTTTATTCCAAAATCCTTGGTAAGGAAATTCCATAGCTCTGACTTGGTGAAAGCCTTCCCCTCGCTCATAACTCATTCCACCAAGGTTTACCAAAAAGAAGTCTAGATGGGAATGCAGGAACTGTATTTTTAAAGACATTTGACAATCCATTTCTTTATAAGCATCATTGAGTTTCACAACTTCTTTCTTTTATGCATAGGACAAGTTATCCCCCAGAAAAATTGCACATATTTATTTGAAAGTCAGCCAAGCTTTCAATTTCAGTGGACTGAGAGCCCTTTCAAATTCAGTATCCATTAAAAGATCCCAGATTTATGATCAAACAGAAATTCCTGCATTCAATTTTGCTGCAATAACTTTTGGAAATTTCACTTAAAATTATTTGTGCTACAAAAAATCTGATTGTAGTTATGAAATTATCATTAAAAATTGTATCAAGGCAACCCAAAATCTCTGATGAGAAATCTTTGTTGACCTGTGTTATCAAAGAACCCAAATCTCTGGGTCAAATCCAAAAAAAAACCTAATCTCTGATGAGAATTCTTTGTTGACCTGTGTTATAAAAGAGTATTTAAATTTTTATTTATTTATACAAATATGTATTTTTTACAACAAAATACACAGTAATTAAATAACACATTAAATAACATTAAATAAATAGCATTTGGTCAATTCTTTTTTTTTAAATCTAAATTTTTTTAAATTTTATTCTTTTTAAAATTAGTAAAATGAGTTTTTATCTTTACAAAGAAAAGTATACTCTTTTTAATAATCATTTTCATATTGTAAATAAAATTTAAAAAATAACTAAACCTTAGTGTTTATAATTATGTTTAGAATACATTATTTAGAAAATTTGACCTTTTCTAAAGTTTTTTAAAATATCTTTCTAAAGTTTATTTAAAGCCCATATGATTTTTTTTTTTTTTTACTTTCTCTTTGATAAAATTTTTTTTCAATTAAAAATTTTTTTTTTAGTTTTCTCTTTGGTTTATTTTTTTCGGCGCATTTTAAAACACTTAAATTGTCGTAACATGTATTCAGCTGCGGTGAAGTTGTCTGAAGAAAATATTTTATTTGTGGACAGACAAGGCATAACACTGCATAAGCTTCCTGTAACAGCTTGATATATATATATATATATATATATATATATAATATATATATATATGTATGTATGTATGTATATATATATGTATGTATATATATATATATATGTATGTATATATATATATGTATGTATATATACATATATAATATATATATATATATATATATATATATATATATATATATATATATATATTATATATGTATGTATGTATGTATACATATATAATATATATATATATATATATGTATGTATGTATATATACATATATAATATATATATTTATATATATGTATATCTATCTATATATATATATATATATATATATATATATATATATATATATATATATATATATATATATATATATATATATATATATATATATATATATATATATATATATATATATATATATATATATATATATATATATTGGAAGTCCAATAATATAAACTTTCGGGAAACTAAAAAAACTGCTTTTTACCCATACTAAATATTTGTTAATGGTTTAATAACTTTTTTTTGAAGGTAAAAAATCTTATCCTCTTCGAAAAAAAATTATTAAACCATAAACAACATTTACTACGCAGTTTTTTTAGTTTCCGGAAAGTTTACATAGTTGGACTTCTGCCCTTTTAACATTCACCGATTCACATAATAGTTTAATTTTTTTAAACAAACTCACATATGCAAAGCTGATGACCACTAAAACTTTTATTTCCACCCTATAATTCCAAATCTTGGTTTAAGTATCTTGGTGCCTTAAGTACCAAGAACCAATGGTATTTTTTAAATAAATAAGTTAACATGTGCTTTTATCAGGAACGTGGCAGATACTTACGCTGCACATCAACCACATTTCCATATAGCAAATTATAGTTCATAAAGTACAAATATATGTCTTACCTAACACAGCATATTCAGACAAAGAACTGTTGCAACAAATATATTTGGCATAATCATTAGAAATGGTATCAAGCACATTAATAGTTTTTTTGTCGATCTTTTGATCATGTAAAACATGATGTCGGTGACTTGAAATAAAAATAAAATCAAACATTAATTTGAAGTACAAATAGATTCAGGATGCAGAAACATTTTGTAGTGAATTAGAAACCATTAAAGAGTGAAAACAAAGATCATAAAATGGTTATCATCATAATGATAAACATAAATATATATTATATGATAAATATAAAAAAAACAAAAAACAATCAACGATTAAGAGCATTACCTGAAGGTACCTCGCTCTACATCTTGACCACTTAAACGAACATGAATTTTTTCTTTAAGCAAAGAGCCTATTGCTAGAGCCTCTCCAATTGCCCAATCAACAATACCTTCTTCTAACATTTCAGCGCGACTTTTTAAAACTCGCTTTAAACCTTAAATTCAAATTTTTTATAATCGGCTTCTATTAGTTTATAATTAATTGTGATTTTAAAAGAATTAATGATCATACCAATTGTTACACTAAAAATGCATAACAATGCAAACTTGTAGGAGAATAAAATTATTATTTTAAAAATAAGTGTCACAGTAATTAAAAAATATAATTTCATATAATGTTTATGTTAATTCCATATAAAATATTGTTAATGTTATGCCTAAAAATAAGAATAAATAAAAAACCTGGATGAATGTTAAAATCAGCTGGAGGGGTAGAAAATTTTGATCCAATTTCAGTAAGAGTTTCTAAACTAGTTCCAGTTGATTGCAGCTCTCCAAGAAGGTTATGTGGTTTAAAAAAACCTTAAAAATATATATATATATAAATTAATTAATTTTTTCAAAAAAATTTCAGTGAAACAATCAAGTAATTTCGAAAGTTTGTTTACTTTTCATTATTCAGAAGAACTAAAAAAAATTGAAGAGCCTAGACTGAGAAATATCTCAGGAAGTATTAACTATAAATGTTTTCAAACTTTTCAAGGTACTATTAAAGTCGAATAAGATTTAAAAAAATAACTTCTTATAGAATGTTTAATGTTTTCATAAATATTTGCTTTTTTAAATATTATTGCCTTAATTTTTAAATAGTTATATTAATTCAATTAAAATTTAAACCAGTGACCAGTAAACCTTGACCAAATAAACAAATAAAATAAACAAATAAAATCAAACTCAATCAAACAATCTCACAATTCTAACCTCCCCATTTAGAATCAAGCCAATCTGCAATCTTCATTTGAGGTCTTTGTTTAGCTGTTTCAAATGTTTCTTCTAGAATTAGTCCATATTTAAGTGTTTCGCTCTATGTTTAAAATAAAGCAATTTTCGGAAATATATATATGAATGTGTCTATGTGTATATATATATGTATATATATATATATATATATATATATATATATATATATATATATATATATATATATATATATATATATATATATATATATATATATATATATATATATATATATATATATATATATACATACATATATACATATATATATAAAGATTTTTTAAAAAAGGTCATACTTATCATATATATATTAGGGTGTTTCAAAAAAAAGTGGCCCTAGCTTATCATCTGCTCAAACTATGATTTAGTACTAAAGATTTTTTTTCAATTTTTGAAAATCCAAAATGTCCCTTCAGGGGGTAAAAGGGCCCATTTTTAAGGAGCTTGTACTATTTTTCTAACTAGTTAAAAAAGTGTTGGCATGAAAATTTTTGATTTATTTTTAGATTTATGTTTGTAAAGACTTATGACTTATATATCAAAACAAAATGGGCAAAATTATCCAAAAAAAAAATTTTAACTTATAAAAATTATTTCAAAAAACCCTAAAACCCATAAGTATCTAACAAATAAAAATAGATTTTAAAGTGTGAAAAAATGTACAATGTAATTGTACATTTTTTCACATTTTTGTTTAATAAAGATATCAATTTTTTTAGTAAATAATATGTTTTCTTGAAATATATTTTGCATTAAATTTTTTAATTTATGTATTTAAAAAATTAATAAAATGCAACCCCCAAAAAAACTTAAGTATTAAATAGGATAAAATATTTTTAGTAAAAATGTTAATCTAAAAACTTCTGGCAAAAAAATTTGCAACTGCTCAAGAGATTAATTCAATTAATCTCTTTCTACAAATAGTAAAGTAAAAATGAAGGTTTTAGTAGGTAACCCTAGCAAAAGTTCATCTTTTATACCTAATTGCCTAGTTGATCAGTCTGACTGTTGCAAACTGTCCAAACTTATGGTTTCTTAGATACTTGATGGATTTATAATACAAGTGCTCACAATACATAATCTTAGGTCTTATCTTAATCTTAAATTATTTCAATATGTTTGAAATCATTTTAATCCATCAACTTTTAAACAATTAAATAATATTTTTACAGGTTAAAAATTAAAAATTTGGTGGAGTGGATAAAATTAAATTTGTTCTGTATCAAAGATAAAGAACAAATTTTGCTGAAATAAAAAAAAAGACATTTATTCAAAAAGGAAATCAATAAAGTATTTTTGGAATGAAGAACATCTTCATGTTATATTTAAAGAAATATTAAAAGATAAAATGAGAAAAATGAAAGGTGTGGATAAAACTGGTCTTAAAAGACCAGCTTGTTGAAAGAAAATGAAGATTAGGGGGTAGCAATAAAAGATATGAACAAAGGGATACAAAGTTCCATCGATTTTATGAGACTCCGGACTCCGAGCTCAAAAATCATGGACTCAGACTCCGGAATAATCTTTTTTTTTTTATTATCTGGAACTTTCACATGAAAATTCCGGAAAAATGAGAGGGTACCAATAATATTTTCCCTTATGAGTTATATATATGTTTAATTTAGATTACCTAAGAAGTCCTTATGGTCTTATAACAGAGCACCTTGGAAAAGCAATTAACAGGAAATTCACTCCTCCTTCCTAAACGATGTCGCAAAACCATAGGTGGGTTTGAACCACGGATTAAAAGTTAATTCATCGCACTTTTGCTGGATAGTAAGAATTAATAAGAACAATACAACTCCAAAGATTTTTATTTGATTTGTGCTGTTGCACGCACAGATTTCTTAGATTTCACACTCAATTTCTCAGATTATTTGAAACCACACGATCATAAAATTATAAAAAGATTTAAATGTTTTTTTACATTAATTACCTGCTAAATTATAAAGTTAGGAGGACAAAATATTACAATATCTACATCATCAAAAAAAATTCAAATAAAAAAATTGTTAATTTTATCTTTTTTGGGCACAAGACATTTGAAGCATACTACTTTGCATCCATTCAAAATTTTACTTGTACAATGAAAATGTCTATAGGTCATATCTGATGCATAGTTAGTGGCCATTACTGGTCAAGATTGTTGCACGCGAGTAAATAGCAAATGTTAATATAAAAAAAGAATATTGTTATTGCTAGTTATTTTGAACATGTAAAGTATTTTTTTTCTGTTATATATGCTTCGCCAAATTAATTATTTGTAAAACAACCCACGAAAACATAGGAAAGCTGTTACAATAACTAGTTATGAATCGATGATAGTAGTTTTTCCGTGAAAGGAATTGTTTCTCAAAATAATTTTTATTTATTTGTTGAGGTATTTTTATAAGCTTTTTTCTGGCTTCTTTCTGACCTAGATACTACATATTTTGCCAATTGTCTAGATCGTTAGCTTGACTTTATAGCACAAACTTACAAACAAACTTGATTTTTTATTGCATATAATTAATTTGTTAGAGAAATTTGATAGCTTTTTGTATCTAAACCACATCACTTTCATTGCGATTTTTCATTAGACATTATTAAAAGAAAAATTTTCATTTTCTTAGCAGAGTATACTGGAGGCATATGGTGTAGGCATATAGCCTTTTCGTATGTAAAACGCGAGCTTGGTAACGCCTCTTAACAAGACGTAACATTCGAACTGATGTTCAATCTGACCAAATGAACGAAATTGGTATGGAAGGAGGTGAGCTTTCCAGTCAAATGCTCTTCTAAAGTGTTTTGTGACAAGACTATCAGGTATTTCTTAAGCACATTAATATCTTTAAAAAAAAAAGAGTCCAGGAGTCCTAAAATTTTTATGGACTCCCGAGACTCCGACTCTGGGTTAAAACAGGAACTCCATGGACTCTGACTCTGTATCCCTAGATATGAGTGTTCTGTATGAAGAAGCAAAAGGAGCACATCGAAGTTAAATAAAAATCTATCAGCAGAGTTATACAAGAATGTATAATACTATCTAAGTTTTGCTAGTTACACCAGTGACAAATTAGGCAAGGAAACAGATATTGACTTTGAGCAATTTTAACATATTTAGACAAGTTTTAGGCATCACCTAAATTCTTTTAAATTAAAAAAAAAAAAAATTTCTTTATTTTAAACTTTATTGGCAAATATTGTTTTTTTTTTGTGCAGAAAAACACCTTTATTAGGTAATGTGCAATGTGTAATCTGAAATAGAATAGCCCCTGAAATAGGAATTTAAATTTCACCTGGACCACTTTGCCATTTAAGATTTATTGGAAAAGGATTATACTATTTAAAACCGCATCTTTTAATAAATGAATTTTGAAACTTGACTGACAAACACAAAGAAGACTTACCCTGAAGCTTTGTTCACTTGTCTTTTCTATTCAGAGTGGTTTTAAAAAGCAGAGCTAGGTTCCTAGGCACAACACAGGTAAACGGTCTTTTAATATTTTTTTAATAATTTTAGAAAGCTTATAATGGATTAAAGTGATTCAAAATGCTAATTAATAATGTTTGTTATGAAAGCTTACTGGCAAATTAAAGAGTTGAAGAATAGAATAAATAAAGAACCTACTTGGCTCTCTAGTTGTTTTAACCTCTATTCTCAGACATACCTGATATCTGGATTCCACTTTGGTTGTTTTTGCCTTAGCACACAAAGAATGTAGAGAATGTGGTGATATAGCCAAAATCTGTACAGTTTATAAAGATGTCTAAGTGACAGTTTTCCTTTGGAGAACCTGATAATGGACCGAGCTATATTCATTCACTGAGAGGGAAGTTAAGTTAGTTTAAGACCAAATAAACAGCATATTCTGATGAAAAAAGGCAGTGGAGCTTTCTTTTTACAAATAATTATAAGAAAAACAGAAATAGCAAGAAAAAAATATATTACGAAAAAGTTGCTATAACAAATAAAGTTTTGTTTCTTATGTCTTCTTGTTAATAACAACTTTAAGAAAGAATATAGAGGAACATAAATTTACTAGGATTGTTGCATTTTAATTTAAAATAAATTATTTTTTCTAATTTTATAAACTTTAATTTATTTTAATTAGAGTAAAGACTATATAGTTTTAACTATTGATTACAGAAAATATATTTTTGTTCCCAGTCCAGGTCCTCACTTTTACATACTTTCCATAATAACCCCTGAAGCTGATTATAATTTAGAAAGTACTGTAGTAAAAGTAAATTAAAAATATAATGTACTTTTATGAGTTTTAAGAATATTTAAATAATTAATTAACTTCGGTGCTTTGCTAAATATTAATGAATTTCAGTGTTTTTTGAAGCAATTTTTTATAAGTTTAAAACTTTTTTTGAGAATAGAGCCATTTTATTTTGATTAAATAACTCTTAACAAAAATGAATATAAAAAAAAAATCAAAAATATTAACTTTAATACTTCATACAACTTGTTTTAAAAATGGTACAAACGGCTCTAAAATTTGCTCCTTATAACCCGTGAAGGCACTCGTAGGATTTTCAAAAATTAAAAAAAAATCTTAAGTACTAAATCATGGCAGGTGATAAGCTAAGGGTCTTTTTTCTTTTAGACATGATCTTTTTTGAAACACCCCATTTATATATATATATATATATATATATATATATATATATATATATATATATATATATATATATATATATATATATATATATATATATATATATATGTATATATATATATATATATATATATATATATATGTATATATATATATATGTATACATATATATATATATATACATATATATATATATATATATATATATATATATATATATATATATATATATATATATATATATGTATATATATATATGTATATATATATATATATGTATATATATATATATATATATGTATACATATATACATATATATATATATATATATACATATATACATATATATATATATATATATATATATATATACATATATATATATATATATATATATATATATATATATATATATATATATATATATATATATATATATACACACCACTTCTCAAATTTAACATAATGATGCTTTGTAAAGATTGGATGAAATCTTTTTTTTTTTTTTTGAATTACACATGCTGATTTTCACCAGCTCATATATATATGGGCGATTCGACGGTGGAAAATGAAAAAGTAGTCAAATTTTACTCTCTTTTCATCAACTTTTAGCAAATGAATATGAAACACAATAGCAAATGATGTAGACACATGAAAGTTAGTTTAAAACCTTTAATACTAAAATTAATTTATTGTAACATAAAATTAATTTTATGTTACGTTTTTACATTTAAAGTTTTGAATAACTATGCATAGTTTAAGCACATTTTTATTTTAAATTTGTGTAACGTAAGTTAAAACTACTTTCCATTTACTAAAGTTCTTGCGCTTTTTCGTTAAGTTTTTGTTTACAAAATGAATTACGTCATTAAGTAATTTGCATTTGTATGACAATATTCTTACTGAAACTTTATATATTAGAAGAATATAGAAAAAAACAATTTTATTTTATTGATGTTAATTAAAATTATTTATATCATTGCTTTTTTATTTGTTTATGTATTCTTATTTTAATTGACATAAATAGACATAAATAAATAAAGATAAAAATTAAATATTTGTATTTAGACATCAAAAAAAAAAAATATTTGCTATTCTCCTGATATAAAAAAAATCAGTTTTTTTTAATTTTTCTTTTAGTAAAAGAAATCATTTGTAAATGCAATTATAGGTCATCCATAAAGCACGTCACCCTATATTTATCAATTCTTAACCCCTTCCCTCCTGTCACAAACGATCACATACACCTTTTGCCAAAAATACTTTAAAAGATTTAAATGTAAATACTCTGCAGCATTTTAAAAAATTCAACCTAATGAAAATAAGGCAATACACATAAACGTAAGGAGTGTAAGTAAAAACTTTGACAAACCAAAGATTTTTTTATTTAAATGACTCAAATAAGTATTTATAAAGTTACTAAAATAATTTTTTAAAGTTGCTCTTGGTCTTGTGTAAAAACTATTTTCCATAAGATAACTATTGTAAATGTTATAAAAAATAACTAAGGAGGAAAGCCACCAGTTTTTAAAATTTCCTTTGTTAATTAGTTTTAATAAATGAGTTCATACTTTTGCAATTTTTTTGTTACATAACTCTAACTCAGAATAATAGATATAAAAAATCCATGATAAATATCGCTCAGTAATGTAAGTTAAGTATATAGTATCAAAAAAACAAGTTTATTTCCCTTAGCCAGTCACCTCTGATAAAATTTTATATATTATTTAAATGGGTATAGAATTCTTAACATTTTGTGAAAGTTTCTAATACAAACCGCTTTACTAATTTGTAGAAATCTGACCTAAAAGTTAAAGCAATTTTTTTACCTTGTTTTATAGTAGTTTTAACTTTAGTAAATGGAAAGTAATTTTAACTTACCGTCTTAAGTAAGTAATTTTAACTTACATAAGTTAAGTGGCATTTTCAGCAATAAGTTCACTCTCTTTTGGCCAGACTCAAAACTTTTTTAGCTTACTTTATTCTTTAGTCTAACAGCTTTCATAAAAAATAGCTAAAACTTTAATTTACAGTTTAAACAGGCAAATATTTGATAAAGTTGTTGCGTGTGTAACATTAAAAGTTAAAAACGAAATTGCCCATATATATATATATATATATATATATATATATATATATATATATATATATATATATATATATATATATATATATATATATATATATATATTTAATTTATAGTTATACTACAATTTATTTTAACACAAATATTTAAAAACTAAAAAGATATACCTGGAATTCTTCTTCGGTTACTACATTTTCACTAATAAGTTTTCTAGCATATTTGAGAACACAAGGTTCTTGTTGACGAATCTTTTGATACATTAGAGGTTGTGTAAAATCAGGATTGTCACTCTCATTGTGTCCATTTTTTCGGTAACATACCTTGGTGACATAATATAAATATTATAAAAAAAAAAAAAAAAAAGAACTTACAATTTCTAAAACTCAAACATTAAAATCAAAAAAATTCTTTTTAATTTAAAAACCAACTTTTTCCCACAAGTCAAATACTTGTTAATACGGACATGAAAAAACAATTAATATAGGTATAAATATAACAAATATAAGAAAATACAAAAATATTAATCATTATTAAAATACATTTAAGCTATTACTTTTATCATTTATTAATAAAGTATGTTTACACATACAGTGAATTAATAAAGTATGTTTACACATACAGTGAATTAATAAAGTATGTTTACACATACAGTGAATTAATAAAGTATGTTTACACATACAGTGAATTAATAAAGTATGTTTACACATACAGTGAATTAATAAAGTATGTTTACACATACAGTGAATTAATAAAGTATGTTTACACATACAGTGAATTAATAAAGTATGTTTACACATACAGTGAATAAATAAACTCAAAGCCTTCTTTAATAATTGTCATAGCTTCAACATTTGTTTGAGACATGAATTTTAAAAAACAATAAGATTTAAACTTTAAAAAAATAAAACTTTAAACATAAAGGAAAAAAATTAAAATATTTCTCACAAGATCAATTACAACATCTTTATGAAACTCTGCACGGTATTCAGCAGCAACTTTGCAAACATGCATGACTGCCTCAGGATCATCTGCATTGACATGAAAAATAGGACATTGTACTACCTTGGCAACATCAGTACAGTAAGGAGATGAACGTGACATACGTGGATCAGTTGTAAATCCAATCTAGACATAAAACATATCTTATATATAGAGTAAAAAACCATGACAAAAAGTCCAATAGATACTGCAATAAAAAAAGTCATTAAAAATGTGAGGAAAAAAATGATATCAAAAATACAATGCAAGACATTTAACTAGTGTTATTAAATCAATTTCCATTTTGATAGGATAAGGCTTTCACTAGGTCAAAGCTATTTAGTAGCAAATTTTATGCTAGCAGGGTGTAATTTTAACCATAGCTACCTGATATTAATTTTTAAGGCATTTCTAAGCCTCATAAAATAACTTCAAAGATTTTTCAAAATCTATGAAGCAACAGTAGCAAACAACATAGTATAAAAATAATAAATATAAGAATAAAAAAAATTATTACTTACTATGTTATATTAATAAGCAGTATAACATAGTAAAACTGTCAGCTTTGTTAGCATTTGTGTCATCATCTATAAATCTTCCTGTTTAAATATCTTAAAAACTATGCCTCACAATGATTTACTGATGATTTAATTAAGTTCCATATCATGCATATTCATTTATTCTTAATTGCTCAACTTGCCCCACACAATCGCTCATTTACCCATTTAGGGTAGGTTGAGCAGCTTGATATCTTCTCAAACAAATCAGAAAATTTTTTTATAACCGATTTTAGCAAGTTAAATAATCTTTTTTCTTAAATATTTTTAAATTCAATAAACCTGACACACAGTTAATGAGATCTATTAGATTCATTAAAAATTGCTTAATTACATTATTTACTAGTTAATTTCAAACTATTTAATTATTATACTATTAATGTAATTATTATTACATTTACTTATTATATTAACTACTGCACTTATCTTTTAACAAAAGATACTTTGTGTATATTCACATTCATACCGATAAAAATAAACAATACCGATATACTATAAACAATATAAACTACTATTAATTGTGATTACAGATCTTGCTTTTCACATAAGTGTTTTTTCATTTAAATATAAATGAAAACTACCTGATTATTAACTACAACATGAATTGTTCCATGAGTGGTGTAGTTTGGAAGATCACTCAAATGCATTGTTTCATAGACAACACCTTGTCCAGCAAATGCTGCATCTCCATGCAGTAGAATACTCATAACTTGTTTACCATCAGAGCTTCCACGATAAAATTGCTCAGCTCGCGTTTTACCTTGAACTACTGGGTCAACAGCTGGAGAAAAAAAGGTTAACTTTATAGAAAGTAAAAATGTAAATGAAAATAATAAATATAGAAGAAAATAAAAAAATATAAACAGGTAAAAAAATATATAATAAATATAATAAATAGGTAATAAATATATAACAAATATAATAATTAGATTAAAAATAAAGTTACAGTAACAAACTAGGCATAAAATATCATTGATAATATTGAATTAGCCATTAGCTCATACATCAATTAAGAGTTAGGTTTTGGGCAGGCAGTATCTACACTTAAGGGATATTTTTCATAACAAAAAAATTTTTTTTAATTTTTTTTTTTTTTTGAAAAAAGTTTTTTTTTTTCCTTCCTCATCTAAAAAAATGTTAGGATTTAAATTGACAAAAATTAAAGTGAGAAGAACAGTACTTTTATTACTTTGAGGATAGTATGGAACATGTATGGATAGTATGACACTAGTATTGAAGTTTGAGGATACAGACACTAGTATGGAAGTTATTAATAATTAGAACAACTTTTTGAGCCAGTGCATAAACTATGAGCCCATACAAATCTTATTTTGGGCCATGTACTGATAAGGTAAGCTTTTGACAGCAGTATATTTATATATATGTATATATATATATATATACATATATATAAATATACATATATATATACATACATATATATATATACATATTCATACACATATATATATACATATATGTATATATATATATATATACATATATATATATATATATATATATATATATATATATATATATATATATACATATATATATATATATATATATATACAAATAGTATTGCATACTATGGTAAGCAATCTGAGGTCATACTGAAATAGCCTGCTGCTGGGGGCTTTAGTACTTACATCGACTGACAAATAGCTTGACTCGCATTGGAGTGCTGCTACATCGACTGAGGGTTTGGGATGGGGAAGCAATCGTTTTATTCATCATTCTTTGTTTATTTCTTCTTTTTTTTTGAAAAAAACGGTATAGCTTAAGGTAAGCACAAAAAGTGAGCAAATGCTTATCAAAACACGCTTTAGTAAGTGTGTGTATGTATGTATGTATATATATATATATATATATATATATATATATATATATATATATATATATATATATATATATATATATATATATATATATATATATATATATATATATATATATATGTATATAGCAAAAAAGACTTCTAATTATTTAAACAAAATCCTTAAGTTTTCTCATATTATACATATATTATACACAATTGTTACATATACCTCCTGTAAACTCAACATATGCTAATAACGTTTACACTTACAGACAATTGTACATAGCACTATACAAATAGGGGAACTAAAAAGATGATGTAATTTTACCAACCAGAAATTCATAGGGATTTCAAAGTTTTTTTATAACTACTGAATTCTCTTTTTCTTCTTTTTTTTTGCCACCACAGCACCACCTTTTAAAGTAGCAGGACTGTCTTATGGGCAAATCTAAAACTAAAGTTTCAAATTTTTCACTTGGATGAGACAATATGTTTTGTATTTTTTCAATCTTATCAATTTTTTTAAACACATTAACATAAATATAAAAATTCAAAATAAAACAATTTCAGCAAAAAAGACTTGTAATTATTAGAAAAGTTATCTTATATTAGGATTGAAATCTGTCCTTTAACGCAATATATTTAATTTTTTTAATCTAACCGTATATATTCATAACAAAAAAAATATAAAAATAAAACACTTTTAATTGTTAAAATAAAATTTTCAAGTTTTTTTTTTTAACTACGGACTCATTTTTTTTCTTTTTGCCTCCACAACAGCACCTTCTGGAGTAGCAGGACTGTCTTATTAATTTTTTCTTTATTAAGTTTCAAAACATTTTTTTTTCAGACCATCCACAGCTTATTAGGACTAATTTCCTGAGCACATTAATAACAAAAAGAATCTCTATCAAGACATATGAATAACCAATTTCTTTCAGTGATTTGATATTTTTAGAAATTTAGGCTTTTTTAAAAATTCTCTTCCTTTCATTTGTTATAGTATAGAATATCTTTATATATGTTTTGTATATAATATTTATAAAACTTCAAAAGCGTCTTATTTTGTATTTTAGAAGTATCAAAAAAGATTTAAAAAAATAAAAAAGGTGCCAGTAGTAGGATTTGAACCACCGCGCTTCAGAAACTCTAAGAGTTACTTCAGCCACATAGTTCTGATAAAAAAAAAATCTAAAACTATTTAATAAACAAAAGACTTTATAAAACAGTAAATATAAATCAAAATTAAGGAGATGTTGCCGCAATGCAGTTTTTAAGTGAAAGTAAAACTGTAAAACTTGATATACTACTGTGATCAAAAAGTAAGGTGAATTTTTTTATAAAATGAAAAATCTTTATTTATTCTTCCAAATCTGTATCGTCCCCCTCAAAATAATCCCCCCCGGCCCCAATGCACTTTTGCCAACGTTTTTTCCAGTCTTCGAAGCATGCCGAAAAGTCCTCGGTAGGGATAGCCTTCAATGTGCGTGCCGATTCACGTTGGATCTCTTCAATGGACTCAAAACGATTTCCCCGGAGTGGTCTCTTGAGCTTTGGGAACAGCCAGAAGTCACACGGTGCTAAGTCGGGCGAATACGGTGATTGTGGAGCAACATGGGTAGAGTTTTTGGCAAAAAACTCACGAAGAACCAGTGCTGTGTGCAAAGGCGCATTATCGTGGTGCAAAATCCAAGAGTTATTGGCCCATAATTCCGGTCTCTTTTTGCGAATAGCTTCACGCAAACGTCGCATAACGCTTAAATAATATTCCTTGTTGACAGTTTGGCCAGTTGGAAGGAATTCGTAGTGCACGACACCACAATAATAAAGAAAACAGTCAACATGACCTTGATTTTTGAGCGACTTTGACGTGGTTGCTTCGGTCTCGGCTCGTCTTTTTCACGGTATTCACTCGATTGGTCGGTTGTTTCAGGGTCGTATGCGTAGACCCAAGTCTCATCGCCAGTAATAATTTGTTTGTAGACGTCTTGATAGTCAGAAAGCATTGCTTCACACGTTTTAACGCGACGCTCTTTTTCAAAGAAATTGAGAAATTTCGGCACCAAACGTGATTTGAGTCTTCTGAGGCCCAAATGATCCTTCAAAATCGCTTGCACTGACCCAAATGATATTCCAACCATGTCAACAAGGTCTCGAATGGTTAACCGACGATTTGCAAGCACCAATTCTTTGATTTTGTTGATGTGGCAATCATCAATCGAAGTCGATGGTCGTCCGGAGCGTTCCAAGTCATCAACACGTTCTCGGCCTTCTTTGAAGTCTTTGTACCACTTGTTAACATTTTTTTGAGACATAGTCTCTTCACCGAAGGCCTTTTGCAACATTCGATACGTTTCAGCAGCAGAAATATCATTCCGCAAACAAAATTTAATAGCATTTCTTTGCTCAACAAAATTAGACATCGTGAAAATCGCCGAATGCACTTTTGGTACTTCAGAAACAAGTGTAAACAAAAAAAAAATAATTATGAGTTTGACATGTAATTTGGCGCAAATGTTAATGACATTCCTACCAACTTAAAAATAAAAAAGATTGGACGATTCGAATAAGGCGGGAAGTTTAAATTAAAAATTCACCTTACTTTTTGATCACAGTAGTATGTTTCAGTATGTTTTAACATTACATAATTTGAAGTTTACGTAAGTTAGATATTTGCATACACTTTCGTTCACATTTTGTTACAAAAAAAAAAAAAAAACGCAACTTTTTTTTGCCATTACTTTGGTTGCAATGGCTGCCAAGAGTTTCGTGTTAAATACACTCGAAGGGAAACTAACTAAATTCAGCGTTATATTACATGATTACTATTATATATTATTGTCGAACTTAATAGTAGTGGGCTTTCGAGCCTGTTTGACACGGTACCCTTAGCAGCCATTGCGAGCAAGGTAATGGCAAGAAAGAGTCGCAACACTGTTGCGACAAGAAAGAGTCGCAACTCTGTTTTATAAGAAAACATGAACAAACGCGTATCCAAATATCTAACGTATGTAAACTTTAAATTAAGTAATGTTAAAACATACTGAAACATTTATCAAGTTTTACAGTTTGATTTTCACTTGAAAATTGCATTGCATCAGGCTCTCCTTAATTTTGATTTATAAAATTTTTTCCCTTAAAAAAATCATTACATTGTTTTAAAAATATTCGGTTGAGAATGTGCCAGTGTGGCCAAGTGGATAAGGCACCGAGCTTCTGAACAAGTAAGCCGAGGTTCGATTCCTACCACAGGCGAATATTTTTCGATTATTTTTAAAAAACAAAACACTTTTGAAGTTTTATAAAGATTATATACAAACATATGTAACGTAACAATATTATACAGTTTCACAAAAGAAAAGATTTTAGGAAAGTTAAAATTTCTTAAAACATTAAAAAAAAACATCACGGGGAGAAAAAATTTGTTGTTGAGAAAAAACTTAACAAGACAGCCCTGCTACTCCAGAAGGTGTTGCTGTGGAGGCAAAAAAAAAAAAAAAAAAAACGTAGCTAGAAAAACTTTAAAACTTTCTTTTGACAATTAAAAGTGTTTTTTGGACATTTATTTTTTTACTATAAATATATTCTGCAACCGTTTTTCAAAATGTCTTAATATGCTTATTACGTATTTCAAGAAAAATGCAATTTAAATGCTTTAATTTGAATGCTTTAATTTAAATGCTTTAATATGCTTATTACGTATTTCGAGAAAAACGCAATTATTAGGAGAAAGTCTTTGTAAAACATTTTTGGAAACTTATACTTTTTTAAAATATTTTCAGAACTCTTTGAAAATATGTATTTAATAATGTTTGTAGATAACAAAACTAGCTTATTTTGTCAAAAAGTCAAAATTGATTTTTTTTACCTTTAAGCATTTTGAAAAACGGCTGCAGAATGGATGATACAACTAATATGTTGAAATGAGATAATTTGACGCAAAAAGCTCTTAACAAATGCCACTAAACCAAAAAAATTAAAAGTGACTGCAGTTCAGTATATTTAAAAATTTTAAGTATACTATATTGGTGTTTGCAAAGAAACATTTTATAAATCGTTTTTTAATATAAAACTAATATTTTTTTAAAACTTTATTGTATAGGTAGGTTTGGGGCTTAATCATTCCTAAACAATATACATAAACAAATATGTTGTTTGTTTATGTATATTGTTTATAAAATGTAAAAAAAACACTTATATAACGTTTTATTCATGATCGTTTGTAATATAAGTAAACTTTTCTAATAATTACAAATCTTTTTTAATCAACATGTTTTGTTTTGAGTTTTTGTATGTATGTTATTATATTTTAAAAAAATTGACAAGATTGAAAAAACACGAAATGTATTGTCACATCCAAATGGAAAATTCGAAACTTTAATTTAAGATTCACCCCTCTCTTGATAAATTCTGATTGCTAAAATTACGTTTTCTGCTTCTTAGACCATTAAAAATAATAGACAAGGCTTATAAAAGTATAAACGTCTTTAACATATGTTGAATTTGCATTATATAGAGATAATCGCGTATAATATATCTTTAAAATGTGAAAACTTTAAAAATTTATTTTAAATATTAAAAATCCTTTTTTGCTAGGTTATTATTTTTTTGTTATAAGTATATAAGCATGATTGAAAAATTTTCAAAGATTATTACGATGAGGGAAAGTATTAACCCCCCCCCCAAAAAAAAAAAAACTGATGACAGCGTACTTAACTACTGAGCTATCAAATGAAATGTATTTAATAGAAAAATAAATCTAATTATAAGTGTTTATAAGCTCTACATATGCGGAAAAGGTGCACATGTTAAGTTTTTTACTCTCGAATGTTTCTTTCAGAACAAATTGTTTTACTAAAAAATATTGAATTAAATAAGGAATAGGTATATAAATAATCAGTGCAGAATAGATATGGATAGAAATGGTAAAATTGGTTAAGACCCATATTTTACCGATCCGGAAAGCTAGGATGTATAAGGAAAAAGTATAGAAAAGTTTGGTTTGGAATAGACTTACAAATACCCGTATTTTTACAGGTCCGATCTCAGCTAGTCATTATTATTACTGTTATATTCATTAAATTATATCTATTCACTTGCATAACAAACATTTAACACTCAGAATAACTCCTAGTAAAAAAAAATAACATAAAAAACAAAAACCTTCTAAATGAGATGGATTAGCACAAACGGAGAGCTTAATAATCTTGTTTGTAGTACGATTCAATCTTTCATGAGTCATGCCAAGATGATATTTTACATCTCCAGAACCTTCATCTTGTTGCTCCAGGGTGGGATTAAATTGAGTAAATATTTGTTCCAAAGGTTTACGACATACATTAGCTAAAACATTTAATCTTCCTCTGCAAAAAATACATTATATTTGCAGAGTATGCAGAATTTTATAATTTATTAAATTATTATTGAAAATATAATTATTAATAACATTTTAATAAACAACCATATTTATAAAGTTATTGTTATCTTAAATAAAGTATATTTTTAAAAAATCTGTTGCACGTAAAAATATTAGTTTAACCTGTGTGGCATCCCCATGATAACACTTTCAACACCTTTATCATTTGATATGTCTATAATATGTTTCAAAGCAGGAATCAAAACCTAAATTAATAAAAAAAACTTGACAAAATTAATAACAATTTCTGATTATTTTGCAATGTTGATAACAAATTTTTTTATGTTGAATACAATTCAAGAGTTTAAATTTTTTATTAAAATATTTAATGAAAAAAGTATTTTTTATAAAAAAAAAACACACAGATTTTGTTTGCCAACTAAAAGATGAGGATGATAAAAAACAAACCTCACAACCTTCAAGTCCAAATCTTTTTTCTGAACTCCATTTCTTTGCTAAAAAATTTTCAAACCTAAAAATAGTAACACCTCAAATGATAAAATTAAATCAAATAAAAACTGTATTATTAAATTGCTTCTCAAATAAAAATCTCCATTAAAAATTCCAAAACAAATACTCAGCAATTCAGCAAAAAAATTTAAAATTTCAAAATTATTGATTAGACTTTCAATAAAACAAAATACCAGAGAACAATTTAAAAACAATGCATTAAATATTGACATTATTGATAATGATATTAACAATATATATATATATATATATATATATATATATATATATATATATATATATATATATATATATATATATATATATATATACACATATATATACTCTTGCATGGTAGTCAAAAAGAGTTTCCCATAAACTGTTTTAAAGTTTTAAAGAGCGCGTTAATAAACCAGACCAGAAAAAGTTTAAAAACTTAAATTTTTTTTTTTTTTTTTAATGATAGACTGCCTGCCCAAACCAAACCCTCAGTCGATGTAGCAGCACTCCCTTGCGAGTCAGGCTATTTATCAGTCGATGTAGCAGCACTCCCTTGCGAGTCAGGCTATTTGTCAGTCGATGTAGCAGCACTCTGTTGCGAGTCAGGCTATAAGATAGTCGATGTAGAAACACTCCCTTGTAGCAGCAGGCTATAAGATAGTCGATGTAGCAACATTTACGCATGTTTTAAAATTTTTTTTTTAATAAAACAAAAACAAAAACACCACTAATTAAAAAAAACTTTATAGTCGTTATTATTGCGGTTTTTTAAAAATGTTTAAAAAACAATAAAATTTAATGTACTTCCGCATTAATTTAATTGCTTTGACATTTCGACGACAATCAAATACAGCTTAAGAGACGAGGTAATTAAAACTGTAGTCGAAAGAGACTTTTTTTACATTAAAAGACTCTTTCGACTACACTATAAGGATATATATATATATATATATATATATATATATATATATATATATATACATATATATATATATATATATCACGGCTGTTTCACTCAATATAAAAGCGAGCCTGACGTCACAAGTTTATCAAAAAAAAAAAGTATTTCCGCATAAAAAGTATAAAAATTCATTAACTTTAAAATAATAGTATTTTTTTTCTATAAATGCTTTCATCTTCAAATAAAAAAAATATAAAAGATCTATCTTTCCTTGTTAAATAAACATTTACATTAAACGGAATAAAAATGAAAGCTGTAAAAATATTGTTAATAATTTGGCATCACTTTTCTGATTTTTGCGATTTTTACGCAAAACCTGTCTTAGGCCAACTAAGATTTGATAACATAGCTACATGGTCGATGGTTGAAATTTAGAACAGTTATTAATGAATGTCTGTTCTATCTAGATTTTCACAGACTTTGCAAGTTTTTATATAGAAAGTTAGTTTTTAATGCATTTATATTTTTGTTTTTATTCGTTTTGAATAAAAAACATAACATTTTTGAAAAGTCTGTGGATTTAGTAATACTTCAACCTTATATGAATAAGAAAATCAAAAAATTATTTTCTGTACCTCTAGCTATGTTATCAAATATGTTTTCAAACTTGGCATGTTTAGCGACATTTTTTTTAGTTTTTTTTGCATAAATTCTTGTTTACATTTTAAAGCGGTGACGCAAACTCTGATCGTTACGTCCCCAACGATTATCGGATGCATTTTAAGAAAACAAACAAAACAAACGAGACACATTTTATAGAATAAATAACAAAGTTTCGCGGATTAATTTCTCTTGGATATTTGACTAATTTCAGATAAGTTGATTAATCCGATTTTATCTAGTGCATCTATTTGTCAATATTATTCTATTTAAGTTGTTTGTATTATAATTTTATTACTATATCAATAAAGATTATAAAGCAAAGTTTCGTGGATTATTTCCTCGTGGATGTTCGACTAATCTCAGATAAGTTGCTTAATTCTTTTATTTTTAGTGTATTTATTTGTAAATATTATTTTATTTTATTTCTTTTATTATATTATTACTATAATATCATTATCATTATTTATGTGATGTATGCAACTGAGAGGGAAATTTTGAAACTGTACATCGGTTGGGAAGATGGTTGGGAAAATGAGTATAACTTTAATTTTGTAAAGCGAGTAATTGACACTAGTAAGATCACTAACAATGTGATTTCAATTTTATTAACAGTTTTTCATCCAAAAGCGTTGTTTACTTTTTTAAGTTTTCTTTTGCCAATTGAGTTTAATATGCCTAATATTGATGTGTTAAATAAAATGTGCCGAAAAATAAAACAAAGAAAAAAAGATTCTAAAAAGTATTTTGAAGCTTCAAAAAACGAAGCATTTTTTAAAATGCAACTGTCTCCAGCTCCACAAACAAAAAAACAAAAAAAATCAGCAGATGCAGATAATTTTTATATTTTAAATAGGAATAAGGAACTAAGTAGTCAAGTTGAACAATTAATTTCTAAAGAAAAAAATAATGTGGAGCAAATAGATAATTTAAAAATACAGGTATCAAAGTTGGAAACTGAAGTTATATATTTAAATTCTAAAAACAAGGCTCTCAACGCACATTGTAACTCATTAAGTTCTCAATTAGAGACTATGAGTATTAGGCTAAAACAGGAGGAGCAGTTCCAACTTTAAAAAAAAAAAAAAATTAAAAACAGCACACCGTAAATTTGCATCTGCTCGTGCCAAAAATGTAAGATTGCTAAAAAAATTTAAATTTGAAAAAAAAAATGCAAAAATCAGTGATATAAACAAGAACAGTTGCCAAATTTGCAAATATTTTGCTAGCAGTGATAAGGATTTATTTGTCGTTGATTCTTATTTAGACTATGACAACATTGGTTCCTCTGAATTATTCTGTGGGTTTAAATTAAGTAATCCACAGACTATATCAGTTAAAAAGCCAATAGTTGGTAAGAAATATACTTACATTAAGTTAGGAGATGGTAAATCTTATTCTAAGATAGGTAGGCATGCTGCAGCTAGACGATCTAAACTTGCTTTTATATTCCTTCGATTATTAGCTTGTTCAGAATTGGAAAGTGATTTGTCTATGTTGTTTTGTGATTCTGTGTCTTGTGAAAAGTCTATGTTTCATTGTGTTGCAAATAAGTTGGGTTTAGTTAGGCAGTTAAGTGTTTCTGATGCTGTAGAGCTGCAGAGCCAATTAAGGATGCCCACGGCTGAATTCCGTAGGCTAAGACATATTCTGTGTAATCTTGGTGCAAGGATTCTCCCATCTGAGCCCAAGATAAGACAAGAACAAGAAATGCGGACAATGCATGTTAGTAAAGAACATGTTACTGTAAAGTCCATGTTGCTTTATCCATCTGCGAATGAAGCACCTTGTTTAGTACCTGTATTGATGGTCAAGAATTTGATAACTTATATTGAAGAGGTTTTCAATAGTCTGCACGTTCGTGACCACTTCAATTCTGATGTCGGTTTTTGCAAAGAGGTATGGCTCCTTTTTGCTGGGGATAAGGGTGGGAAGTATATGAAATTCCATTTTGAAGTTGTCAATTCTAAATCATCAGGGTCTGTATATGATGTTCATTTATTTTGTATGTATCAGGGTTCAGACTGTCGTGAGAATATTGCCTTAGTTCTCGGGCATTATGCCAACGACATTAAAAGAATTCAGTCGTCAGATTTTAAGCTAAAAGGCAAAATAGTCAGGTTGTTCTTAGGTGGAGATTTTCATTTTATCGATGATGTTCTGGGACACCAGGGTTCAGCTGCTAGCTTTCCTAGTTCTACAGACCTAGTTAAGTTGAATTCTCTAAGAAACCATGCTTCTATGCCTCACACACCTGCTAATTGTAACATCTTAAGGAGGACAATACAATCTCTGGAAAGTGCTTACAATGAGAACTTGTGTGAAGATAGACAAAGTGGAAACCTAAGAGCTCTAGGTAAGTTTCATAATTCAATTATTGCTCCTGTGATTTTCCCCATAATAACTTTAGATAATGTAGTGCCACCTGTTTTGCATATTATGTTAGGAGTTGTGTTAAAACTTTATAAGTTATTGTTGAAGGAGTGTAAGACTTTGGATAGTCAAGCTGTTTCGTCTTTGTCGCATAATGAGAATGTGAGAACGAATGAATTGTGGGCTGCTAAAAGCTTTGAATGTTCTAAAACAGCAGACTCTTTACGTTTATTAGGAAATCAATTTGTAGACGTTGCAAATCTACAGACTCGTTGGTTAGCTTTTGATAAAAATATTTCTGAATTGGAATGCATATCTCTAAACTCCTCCAATAAAAAAAAAACCTGTAAACAGCTAGAAAAGTGTGCTAGTATCAGGTGTTTAATTACTAAATATGATTGTAACATTGATTGGGTGCAGTGTGGTACGTGCCAAAAATTGTTCCATCAATTTTGTGAAATTATTGGTGGTTCAGAAAAGAATGTATTGTGTGATATAGAGAAGTATGAGTGTTTAGTATGTCAGGGTGAAGATTTAGAATGTCTTGACCTTTATATTTCTGAAAAAATTTCTTTTATACGCGCACAGCGCGAAGTTTTAGACGTTGAGTATATTCGATTGCAGATAGAGTGTGAAGACCTAGAAAAAATATCTATAAGTAGCATGGGGACTCATGAGAGGTCTCTTTATAAGGCCCTTGAAGATATGAAAGTTGAGCGAAGATATGAAAAGTTGAGCTTGAAGATATGAAAGTTGAGCTTACCATGGTAATGTATTTGTAGGTAATCATTGTAAAATAGTATTAAGAAACCACTATAAACTTTGTAGTGTTATTGATGATGAAGCAATTAAAAATAGATTTGTACGTGTGTTTAGTGTTTTTAATAACTTGCAACCTATTCTTTTTAAGCGAAAATTTCTTTCTGATGCCGAAATTTCTGAGCTTCATCAATATATAAATTTATTTGCTATTGAGTTTCATGCTTGCTTTCCAAAAGAAAGTATCACGCGAAAAATGCATGAACTCATTTTCAATGTGCCACTATTTGTAAAATTGCATAAAACTATTGGGTTGCTGAGTGAAAAGGAGGGAGAGTGTTTGCATAATAGCGTAAATAAGGAATTAAGGCAGTTGCATTCAGTTAGAAATCAGGAGCAAAAGCTGCATCTTGTTTTAAAACGCTTTGAATTGCACAGCAAAGCTGATAGGTCTAGGATCAAATGTATAGCTAACTATTTTAATTTGTGATCAGAGCAACTGGTATGTTTGTTGGATATGATTTTGTATGTTTATGTAGTTAATTCAAAAAACGTTTTATCCTTTGTTATGTAATATGTAACATTTTTTATATATATTAGATCTCCGTTCAATTTTTATCATCAAAAGTTAGTTCTATCTTCGCAGGACCTCTGCTCTACATACCTCTTCTCTGGTTAAAGAATGGAATATAAGTCTCATTTATCAAGTTGGTGTAAAAATTTAGCTTGATAAATTAATAAGTTGTAAACTTTATTATCACAATTGCCAAGTTGACCAAATGTTCTTCTGGTTTTAAATGAATTATGTATGAGTCTAGTATCATCTGGGTGTTCAAAGATAGTTTACTGCTTGAAGAACTTATCAATGGACCAACTAATTATAAAACAGTTTTTAATGAAAATAAAAACGAATTATCAAAAGATTTAAATCAGCTATTTATGTATATTTAAACACTTTATTTTTTGTGAGAAGAGATTATTGATACAAGTACCATAAAATAATTCTACTACCAAAAGCTAGGTTAACTCAAAACCTTTAACTCAATTTTGGTCATGAATTATTTTATTAGAATTGATGAGTTTTTATTTATTAACTACCTAACACCATATTATTAGAACTTTATTTTGTAATGTAATGATTTTATCAGCGTTTCAAAATAATTTTCTAAATCAAGAACTTCTATATTAAAAAAAGTACTCATTTAACAACTAATCCCCCCTTATAACGACGTTTTTCATAATTTTGCGAAAAATGTGGTTTGCTTTCACAATTCGATTAAGGCTGTTTTAGTTAACCTTAAATAATTAAGTAAGGTTTTTCTGTTTTCATTATTGTCAAACAATAAGTGTATTTGATAATAACTATTGGGAATATATTTTTCTAATTTTTTTTTGATAAAAAGTAACATCAAATTACAAAAATTTAGCCAAATTCAATATATGTCATATTTATTCTAAACTAAAAGAAGTTTTTTTACTAATGCATTAAATGTCATAAGGTAAAACATTTTATTGATGTCTTAATTGTTTTTACAAAACAAAATTACCTCTTATACTTCAAAAGTTATAAAAGTTTTAGTAACACCCCTTTAGTCAATATTTTCAAAAATTAACAAGAAGCCGTTAAGCTCGGTTTGAAACAGCCGTGATATATATATATATATATATATATATATATATATATATATATATATATATATATATATATATATATATATATATATATACACACATACATATATATATATATATATATATATATATATATATATATATATATATATATATATCATATATATATATATATATATATATATATATATATATATATATATATATATATATATATATATATATATATATATATATATATATATATATATATATATATATATATATATATATATTTAATATATATTTAATTGAAAGGTTTACAAAAATAATACATATAATGCTTGTCAACTTAGTTATACAAAAGTTTAAAAATTTAAGCCAGTTATTTTTTTCAAACTTAAATTAGCATTAAACATTCTAAGGAAAGTATACAACAATTATTCATTAAGAATATTTTTCTTAAAATGAACTTTTGAATTTAAAAATTGTACCTAAATCTAAAAACTCTGTTAAATAAAATAGAAAAAAAACATCACATTGAATTTAAATTTAATTCAACAAAAAAAAATGCAATAAAAGAAAAATATAATTAACCCTTTATAAGTCATAGTCTCCGTACAACAACAAAAGATAGAAGTCATATATTTCAAAATCTGATTAATATTTTGTTTAATTATAAAGCCTCATTTTACTTATGCAGGAAGAAAAAAAAGACTTTCTTGTCTTTTTACTTTAACTGTTGCGTAAGTATAATACTTATATATATAATTTTTTTTTTTTCAAAAGTGGATTTTTTACTTTGGTCCATATAGAGACTTTTAAAACATTATTCAGAAATTTTTTTCTGAGCGTATTATGATGTGGTGTTTACGCAAACCGCGCATTATTTTAAATAGGTAATTGTTTTAAAATGTCATATTAGTATTAGGATTATTCAAAAATTAAATGACCCTACTATCAAAACAACTAGTTTTAATTAAAATGTCATCAAATCAAGGTAAGAGGCAAGAAAAATTTTTGCATTTTCTGGTTGAAAATCCTTGTGTATTTAACAAAAATATTTTTAGACTTGCAAATTGCTTAGAGATTGTGAAATTTGTGCATTGTGAAACAATTTAGAGATTTGTGCATTGTCAAACAATTTAAAAACACTGTTACAATCAAAAAGAAATCAGGATGTGAAATAAAAAAAGTATTTGTTCAACAAGATCTTGTTGAAATAGTGAAAGTGAAAGAATAAAAGTTTGAAGAAAATAATTTAAATTTCTGTTCAAACTTTAGCAAATAAATTTAAAATTAGGTGCTTCCACTATACAAAAATTGAAGAGTAATTGTGGCTATAAATCTAATAAAAAGAAAAAAGTTTCTTATTATAAAGAAAAGCAAGAAAATGTTGCAAATTGTTGTTCAAAGATGCTCTATAAAAATCTTGTTTGATTATTGATGATGAAACATATTGTGCTGCATGTTTCTAATCTCTTCCAGGACATCAATATTATTCAGCATTTAATCACAAGAAACTAAATCCAAATATAAAGATATTGGAATGCAAAAATTTGCTAAAAAATTTATAGTTCGACAAGCAACTTAAGAATGTGGTGAAAAAAGCTCTTTGCTATGTGACTATGGAAACAATTAACACTGAAATATACATCAAAGATTGTCTCAAGAAGCATCTTATGCTGTTTTTAAGATCTCATTTGAGTAGCCCGTTGTTTTGGCTCTATTTAGCATCATGCCACTACTCTGGGACAACATAACCAGGTTTAAAAAACATAAAGTAGATTTCGTTGGAAAACACTGCAATCCACATAACTGTCCTGAATTATATCTTATCGAAAGAAATTAGGCTATTGTCAAAGGAAAACTAAAATTCAATGTAAAAGAAGCTAAAAACATCCAAGATTTCGTAAATAAATGGATTACAGTTATCAAGAAAGTCCTGCCGAAAACTGAGCAAAAGCTGATTCTCACATACACAACTTCACAAACTCAATTAAGTGAAGTTTAAGAATATTTATATATCTACTTTCAAAATATATATAACATTCAATACCGGAGAATACAATTGTTAAATAATTAATAAATAATAATAAGGAATACAACAGCCAAATTTAATAATTATTCTTTATTTATTCAATAATTATTCTTTAAAATATCACAGGTTTTTTCTGATACATGTCTTTAAGATTAATTTACCAAGTTAGTAGAGTTGATCTACTCAAAAAAATTTCAGTTTAGTTATGTAACAAACATTTAATCAAATTTGATTACAAATATTTGAGTATTTAACTTAAAAGTTGAGTAATCAAGTTAAAAAAGGAGTAACCAAGTTAAACTTCTACTATTATATATTTTGAGGAATTTATCTTAATTTATTGGTAAAAACAAGACTTATAGAAAAGATATATGGTAATACTTATTTTTCAAACAACTTACTCTGTTGAGCGTACCAGTCTGGCAAGAAGACGTCGCTTTTCTTCTGGTGTCAAACTCATAACACCAGGTGTCTCAAAATGTTTTCGAATCCAAGTATCTGTAAACAAATGAGCATGAATAAAATAACAAAAACTATACTTGTAACAATGATAATCTATAATAATAAAAAATCTTTTTTTTAATTATAAAAATAATATAAAAAGTACTTTTGTTTTGACTGGTAAGAAACATGAACTCCAAACCAATACTTTTACAGTAAACATTCTATGAAGTAAATAATAAACAACCTACAAAATAACCAGACATCCATTAATTGCATTTTGTTTTATTTTACCTTATAACAAAAACAAATTTACTGGAAATAATCTTTTTAAAGGAACCACCAAGTCCCGAGACTATTAAGAATATTAAAAAAAAACATCTGAGCAAATTTTTTTTGATTAAAACTAATTAATAAATGTATACCAAGAAAAACAAATCTTGTTGTTTTAGTTGAAGCTTGTCTTCTCCATTTTCTGCGGTATTTGGAGTCTTTAAAATAAACACAACTTTCTAGGCATATTATACAGACTTGATAATTTATTCAAGTGCATTTAATTCATAGGAGTTTTAGTACATGACGTCATTGGAAACATTCTAGAAATTCTTTAAAAATTTTACTATTAAATTTTACTAAAATAGCTAATTATAGTTAGTTATTTTATCATCTGAAATCTTCACATTGAAAAATATTTTATGTTTTTTTGTAGCTATCAGAGCCTTGACTACATGGGCCACGACGCTGGTAGACCTAGGCACCCCTATGGCGCCAAATCAGGTTATATAATATCTCTGATGATTCATTAGTGTGTTCTTTACATTTTGATGCAAGTTGTTTCGACAAATCTAACCAACAATTAATTAAACCAAGCACTAGGAAGAGATACAAAAAATAAGAATATACTAATAAAATATATAATTTGTAATTAACTTTCAAAATTTTGACAATTTAAAAAATATATATTATAAAACATTTATTTTTGTAAACAAATAATAATACTTTAAAAGATTTATGGTTTTGTAGATGTGGCTTCGAGAATGAGCCATAATATTAAAGTAATAGTTCATTTGATAATATATTCTCAAAACAATTTATGCTAGATATCTCAAAATGCAAAAAATTGTGAATAATACAATTGCTAAAACATTTTAACAGAATACTCTAGTATTTTTTATATGCTTAGTCAGCGTATTTTTTTTAACCAATATAATTAGTTTGTTCGTTTATTTTCGGCGGTTTTTTAGTGTTCGCGAATATTCTTTTTATTCTTGCGCAAGATGTTTTAAGAACATTCAAGTTAATTATGTTTCCATGTATTCCGTAAAACAAAAATTAATATATATTTTTTAATTTTTAAGCCCCCGCCATAATATATATTGGATGTTATAACAATGGAACTATAAATAATGAAATAAGATCACCTCAATACATTTTTGAAAATCAGAGAAAAATGTGTTAATAATTTTCTTTTAATATTAACAAAGTAAATTAATAAAAGTGCATTATTATTTTAGGTTAAAAATTATTTTATCTAATATTTTGAAAGAAAAACTATTAAAAAAAGAAATGGTCTGGACAATTATTTTAAAAAAATTGCGCAAATAAAATAACATTTTTGTTTATAATTTTTTTACAAACACATTTTAGAACTTTAAAATATAATAAAAATGAATATGATTTGGAAATTGTATGTAAAAAATAATAATTGGTGTTTTAAACAAACAAACAAAAAAATCTATGAAGTCATGTACTAAAACTACTATGAATTAAATGCATTTGAATAAATTATCAAGTCTGTATAATATGCATAGAAAATTACGATTATTTTTAAGACTCCAAATACTGCAGAAAATGGAGAAGACAAGCTTCGACTAAAACAACAAGATTTGTTTTTCTTGGTATACATTTATTAATTAGTTTTAATCAAAAAAAATTTGAACAGACATTTTTTTTTTATATTCTCTTTAATATGAACACAACATGTCTTGGGACTTGGTGGTCCCTTTAACAGTGTGTAATAAATGTTTTTTTAAATCTTCAGCCATGAAGACTAAAAAGTCTAGGAAATAATGTAAGCTGTACCCATGCCCCTCATTTTCAGATCAAATACCATAAAGACTAAAATCTATTAACATATACATATTTTCAAAAATAGCCTTGCACTATATAATCTGCCACTAGCTAATAATAAGAAAATTTTAGAAAGTTCTGTTAGGATAATCTTTTGCAATTGCTGACCACGATTTGTAAGGGTTTGTTGTCCAATTTAGGCAAACAGTTTCATGTAAAAACTAATTTCATTTGCAATCGAACCTTTTATCCTACATCTTTATGTGTGCATATTTTTTGCAATAACTTAATCTTTTTAGAGCTTTTAAACTTTTGTTGTTGTTTGGCTTGTTGTGTTATAACTAATATATTGAAATTAGTTTTTAAAAACATACACCAATAAAATAGGCTAGCATATAACTGACATTCCCATTAAAGTTAACTATAAATTAAACCTATTAAAGCTCACGTTGTAGTGAAGATATCATTTTTAATAAGTTAAGAATTCTTTATGCTATATCTATCAATAGCAACTTTTCAAATTACCTCAGAAGTGCGAGCATAAGAAGAGTATGATACTTTTATACATAACTATTAAATCAATTTGTTTATTTATTATTACTATTAAGTCAACAAATAGTGCGTGCTGTGACACAGCCTAGTCACAAACAAAACAAAAACACACCCAGCATTATTTACCAAATATTCTGTACTTTGGCTGAGCACCTAGCCTAATATTTGTATTTGGTATTCAGCAAAACCATTATTCATGACATCTTTGTTTTATTATATATAAGAAATAATTATACAAAAAATTAAACTAATAACAGAAATCATACTGTTTAAACTGACTTCAAGTCTTGTAAAGTCTGAGACTCATAGAATATTTTGTTGTTAATGATAACACATAACATATGATAACTAATAATCTGGACAAAGTTTGAGTAAATATTAAAATATGAAGGAATAATTTAATATACTTGTCATCACTTCTATTTTGTTACAAATTTAATTCTTTAAATGTATTATTTAAAAAAAAATTTATTTAGTAATAATCAAAAATGAAAAAAAAGACTTGTAACAAAGACTCCAAACGAGTGTACACACTTTTGGATTTGCATTCAGATAAGAATAAAAGCTTTATCGTAAATCATTTTTGAATTGAGAATATACCAAAATCTACTATTTATAATATACTTCTAAGAAAGGAGAATAATATATAGGACCAGAAAGAAAAGTTGGAAATGGTTGCAAAGCAAAAAAGATGTCTGCAAAAGAGATAACCGTCTTAAAAAATTGATTGATCAAAAGGATGGTATTTCACAGCGTGGTCTTGCAAAACGATTCCATGTATCACAACCGTACATATGCAAAATTATTCAAAAAAAAACTAGTATTCATTATCTTAAAAAAACTAAAACACCTAAAAGAACACCGACTCAAAAAGCAGCAGTTCGTTCAAAGTGCCATAGATTGGTTTTAATTTATAGGAAAAAAGTAGTTATTATTGACGATGAATCGTATTTTTATTTGAGCAACACTAATATTTCCATAAATGCTGGATTCTATTCCTCTAATATAAATACAGCATCAAATGATGTAATGTTAAAAAGAAAAGACAAATTTGAGCCAAAATTACTTGTTTGGATTGCATTCTCGACGAAAGGAGTACATTGCTCAGCAGTACATTGTTCCGTCAGGCCAAGCAGTCAATGAAGATTTGTATATTTCAAAATGTCTTGTTAGATTAGAGAAATTTATTGAAAAACATCATAAAAATGACAATATTGTCTTATGGCCTGATCTAGCTTTGTCACATTCGCATAAAGTGCAAGGTTATCTAAAAGCTAAAAACATTGAATTTGTACTGAAAGAGCATAACCCTGCTAATGTGCCAGAATTATGTCGAATTGAAGATTTTTGGTCTGAATATAAGAGATTAGTGTATAATAAAAATTGACAAGCTGAAAATCTAGGTAAACTTAAAAAGCAGATTTTCAATTAAGAAAATCAACATAGAATGTGTACATCGGCTAGCTGCCACAACATTTACAAGAGTAGACAGTGTGCGTCATCATGGCATGAAAAACTTATAATTTTTTAAAATTTTATTATTTAGATGTTATCATACTTTTTAAATTATCAAAATTGATCATTCTGTTAAAAAGTTACACAATTTCTAATTTTGTCCAGATTTTTAGTTACCACATTATATTTAGCGGCATCACCAAGTTTATCCACCAAATTTATCTCCAAGGCAGCCAAAATGGTAGAAAATGATTTTGCAAACAATATTTGTTTTTACTATATACATTATACTTATATGTCCTATTTTGAAATCAGTAACAATATCATTTGAAACAATAACAATACATTTAACATGGTTGAAAACAATTTATAATTTTTTATATATAGATATAGAAAAAATGTTCAACTTTAAAAAATAGGAAATTGTTTACTAGCCCTAATTGACATTTCCCAGCAGGTCACAAGCTACATAAAATATTCAATCAAAAATCTATTAAGATTAGCTACAGTTGCATGCCTAAAGTTTATCATAAACTTGCATAATTGCAAAATTTTACACAACCAAAATCAATTAAAATTAGTGTTTGTCCAACAATATTGCCTACCAAGCAACTTTAAGTTCCACTGATCATGAATATAATAAAAAAGTATATATTGGCATTAGTCATACACCATTTAAATTAAGATCACAATACAATACATTAGTTGAGTATAGAAATGAAACAGAACTCTCCAAGAAAATATATATATATATATATATATATATATATATATATATATATATATATATATATATATATATATATATATATATATATATAATGATTTTTATACTTATGTTATGAAAACTACATGCTTATATTCAAAGAGAGACAAAAAAAAAAATTAAACATTTTAACATTTTAAACTATATACATATATAAAAAAATTTAAATATTTAAAAAAATTAAACATTTTTTTATTTTATCTTTTTGAGATGCTTAAGAACTTGATTTTATTATATTTTTAATCATAAAAACATCCTCCTTTTGTTTTCTTTTTTTTTTTTTTTGATTCAGATGTTTAACAATGGATTAACCTGGGATGTCAAGTGTTGTGATGCATTAAAGTCCATGTGATAAAAATTAAATAACCAATTACAAAAATATTGATCAGAAATAAAAACAAAAAAGTACAGTGTTGGAAAGAATGATAAAGAACAAAGTAAAAAGGTGGTTGAGTGAACTAAACAAAAGCACACAAAGAATAGTTATTTTTAATACAAATTTTTCTTTTTCTTTTAATTTATATTGATATTATATTGCAAAGTAAATGACCATTTACAATGGCCTTTTAATAAAACTCAACACTTAGCCTAAATTGCGAGCCAAATACAGGATTAAGCAACCTAATCCTGTGATTGGCTGAGATATATTTTATTAATAAAAAATAACAAAAAATGTATAAGCTTCCATAACATTAACTTTTAATAAAGTATACAGAATACTTTTTATAACTAAAAGTTACTAAGAATTCAATACTGATTTGGATTATAGGGCTGTTTACATTTTAATTGTAATTTTAAAAGGCTGCATATATTTTAATTGTAATTTCAAATGAAACAACAATAAAAATATCTGAATAATGTCTTTGTCATGCTGTTAATAAAACTTGCAAAAATATTTACTTTACAAGATTTAGCTATACATGAATTAAAAACACAAAAAATTCATTACATTTTTAATCAATTAATTTGTTTTCTTATATATAACCAAACTAATTTGTTTACTTATACTTTTAGATGCTTTTAGTTACTAGCATTGTAAACTAAAAAATAAGTCACCTCAAGTGATGCAATTATATCTCTTAACTTCATAGTTTGACCAGAATGACCAATAAATGTGGTTTTAGGCAGTTGAAATTCTTTGTCTAGATCTTGTTGTGCTAAATGGTTATTAAAATCAAGCACATAAGCTATATATATACACATATACATACATATATATATATATATATATATATATATATATATATATATATATACATATATATATATATATATATATATATATATATATATATATATATATATCAGGCTTTCCCAGGAAAGGCGTGCGGTCGCACGCCTTGTTTGTCCACGCATAGAATAAATTTTTCAGAAAATGTGACCGCGGCAATTCGTAAGAAAGCAGAAATTATCCATAGAGAATAAAAAATAATATTTAAAAAATGAAACCAAGTCTAAACAAAGTATAAAATTGAAACTGGATGTAAGAAAAATATTTCGATAATAAAAAAATTTAAAAAAAAAAATTTTTGTAACAAAAAAAAAGTGAACATTTTTTTCAAAATTTTATACTGTTTTTGTTTTCTTTTATTAGGGTTGCTATTTTTAGCTACAAAATTTGATACAAGTCAAGGAAAAGACGACAATAAGTCATAAAGTTTTTACGAAAACAAAAAGACTTGATACATAATTTATTCACGAACTTTATGAGACAATGTATTAAAAAATTGATTCATTATTTACGCTAGACAAATTTGGTCAAACTTTTTCATTTAATTTAGTTTTTACGAAGGTTTATGCAAAGGCAATGACTTTATTCCCCAATACTTAGACAAGAAAATAAATTGCTGTTTTAATTATTAAATATATTATTTGAGATTTTAAACATAACAAAATTTTAATGTGAAAAAGTTCTCGACTTATTCTAAACTGATTTTACTGAGTCAATGCTCGCTTTTTATTACGTTGAAATTATTCAATTGCAAAATTTTGTAATTACGAAAGAAGTTAAAAAAATAATTGCATTGCTTCTGTTGTCATTGTTACGAAAACAGTTCCTTCGGGACATTATTATATATTAACACTCGTTCACAATGTCAATTAATGATCGCAAAATAAGCAACTCAATCGTTTGACAATAACATTTTCTTTAATTTAAAAAAAAAAAAAAAACATATTTTACTAATAAATAGCAATCGTTTTCGTGTTTTCTTGCGTATCAATACATTCAAACATTAAAATCAATACATTTAAACATTTAAATGTATTTACGAAACATTTAAAAATTGTTTATAGTTCTATCGTGAATTTTAAAGTATTACTGACTGATAAAAGTCATAAACAATTTTACATTAAAAGGTCCTTTTATTTTCTTTAAGCATTAATCTTTTTCTTTTTGATTTGATTTTTCTTATTGATTTGATTTTTCATAGCTTAAATAACTACCACCCTAAATAAATAAATAAATTATAGGTAAATTTTTTTTTTAATAATATGCATTAATTTTTTAATTTTAAAGCACAAACAGATTTCTGTTATTCACTTTAAGATTGCTTGCATTTTTGCGGTATTTTCGTTTAGCTTTATTTTAGCGCGAATTCTTGAAACGCATAATAAAACGTGGTCAGTTAGTTCAATTTATTCTATGCGTGGACAAACAAGGCGTGCGACCGCACACCTTTCCTGGGAAAGCCTGATAGATATATACATATATATATATATATATATATATATATATATATACAAATACTATTGCATACTATGGTAAGCAATCTGACCTCATACTGAAATAGCCTGCTGCCGGGGGCTTTAGTACATACATCAACTGACAAATAGCCTGACTCGCAGTGGAGTGCTGCTACATCGACTGAGGGTTTGGCATGCGGCAGCAATCTTTTCATTTATTATTCTTTGTTTTTTTTTCTTTTTCTAAAAAAGCCGTATGGATTAAGATAAGCAAAAACAGTGAGCAAATACTTATATAAATACGCTATAGTATGTGTGTGTGTGTGTATGTGCATATATATATATATATATATATATATATATATATATATATATATATATATATATATATATATATATATATATATATATACATATATATATATATATATATATATATATATATATATATATATATATATATATATATATATATATATATATATATCAGGCCTTGCGATGAATAAGAACTGCGCGACGTATAAGCACGACGTGATTTTTGACGTCATTAAATTCTTTTTATTTGCTTTTCATATTTATCGACGTTAACTGCACCAATTTACTTAATTACCGCAAAACTACTTCAAATCGTTTATGTAGAAATGCTATTATTTAAAAATGTTTTGGAATTTTTTTTTTTTTTTATTGTAAAAACATTTGTTTATTTTCTTGACGTTTGTCACGTTTTGTCTATACTAAACACTTAAAAAACATAACTTAAATTTAAAAAAGATTATAAAATATGCTAATATTTGATTTTTTTTTCCTTAAACATGTAATTTAAAGTTTTTCGAATAATAATTTTTTTTTTTAAAAGTCAGCGAGTAATAAACTGGAAACATTAATATTGTTCGATTAAAAACTGTGCAATAGCTAATATTTTTACAAGCGATTTTATATAATATTTATTTATTTATATTTATTTTCATAAAGCAGTTGATAAGCACAATCACTCGTATTAATAAAAAACTTAAACGAACGTTTTGAATAGATTTTTAATGTTAACAAGGAATTTTATTTCTAGTAAAATAAAATAAAATGTTAGAATAAAAATCTTATAGGTATAAAAGAAATATTTCAGCGAAAATATTATTCCTAAGAATTATTCGAAAAACTATTGAGGTTTTATTTTTCAGCAGCTGTTCTTGAGCACGCTTCGTTGAGTTTCGGTAACTTTTAACTTAAAAACAATCGTTATTATTTAAGTAATTTTTTTGAGTTACTTTTTTATTGAATCAAGTAGAATACGTTTTAATATTAATCCTTTTTTTTTTTATTTGAGCTCACCAATTTTAAAATGTTTCCTCGAAACTACTCTTAATACTTTAAATACGTCTAACAGTTAATAAATATTTTTAAATCTATGGAATAATTTTAAAACCTAACAAACCCCCGTAAAGTAATTATTTAAGTTGAAAATCTAAAACTAAAAGAAAGTATTTTTGTTCAATTTTATCGACAGCTTTGCTATTGCTAAATAATATTATTAAAATGTTAGCTTAAAAGATTTAAACTTTTTTTTTAATCTGAATTTTTTCTACTTGTAAATAATGAGCATATTTAATTTTTTTTAATTCAAACTTTTATTTCAACTGCGTGCAGTTTTTAAAATACTTTATTAAATGTTAAAATAATCGTAAATTACTTCATTAAAATTCCGCTCAAAAATATCTTTAAATATACTCAAACAATAAATTTTTTGCTCGACGCAAATAGCCCTAGCTACACACAAAATCGCTCTTGGACGACGTAAAATTCACATCGCCCGACGCTTTATCGCAAGGCCTGATTGATATATATATATATATATATATATATATATATATATATATATATATATATATATATATATATATATATATATATATATATATATATATATATATATATATATATCAACCCTTGAATTAGGCCAGCCTAACTGCCAACCTAAAAGTGCTTGAGGTCTGCAAAAAATTGCATAACTTGTTTCTATGTTTTATGGTCAGACCATTTTTTAAAATAATTTTTGCCGACCTGATGCCAACCTCAAAAAAATTGAGGTCATATATATATATATATATATATATATATATATATATATATATATATATATATATATATATATACATATATATATATATATATATATATATATATATATATATATATATATATATATATATATATATATATATATTTCATCGATGTTGATAATGACAATGATATATATATATATATATATATATATATATATATATATATATATATATATATATATATATATATATATATATATATATATATATATATATATATATATATATATATCATTGTCATTATCAACATCGATGAAAATGCTTTGAATAAACAATTATTTTCGTTACTTTGACCTTCAGTCAACACTTTTGATTTTGAAATAAAAAAATTTAAACATGATTTAGAAATCTTTTGGTTTTAAATATTTAAAATTTATTAACTCATAAACTAATATATTTTAAAATCATATATATAATAGCTACAGATACAAAATATCAGATATATAGATATTTAGATATAATAATCAGCACATAACAACCTTTGTTTGTTTTTTTTGTTTGTTATTTTGTTTTTTTTGTTGTTTTTTTTGTTGTTTTTTTGTTTTTGTTTTTGTTTGCTTTTTTTGTTTTTTTGTTTTGTTTTGTTTTTTTTTTTGTTTTTTTTTTTTTTTTGGGGGGGGGGGTTCATTAAAAACAAAACTAATAAAACAAAACTAATAAAACTTACAGAGGCCAGAATTTTCAAGAACAAGCTCTTCAGGTACTTTAGAATCTAGATCTGCATGAAGAATTCCAAGTGGATCAAGATTTGCTAAATTGTGCCCTCGGATCTATAAAAAAATTAAAACATGCAAATATAATAAATTGATCAGGCATAGCTTGAATAATTAGAGCAAATGATATAAAAAATTAGAAATCTATTAGTCTCTACTAAATCGTCATTTGAAGGAAAAGTTTTCATAAATTTAAATTTCATAAAGCAGTTATTCGTTATTTATACCTTTATTATAAGCATTTTGCAAAAAAATGTTGAGCAGTTGTATATTTAAACATAATTGTAACTAGTATAAAATAATATAAAAAATAACATCACAATCGTTCTACATAATTTACAAAAAAAGACATTTCAATTTTACAAAAACTTATAACATAATTTGTTCTAACTCTTTCACTTTCACTTTTTTTCTAATTTTTTATGTTGACTTTTTCAATATGAAAAATTACAATTTTATAACTTCTTTCTCTTAAAAAATGTTTAACTGCTCTTTAAACTAGAGAATTTATTGGCATAAGTGCGAACTGGCATAAGTGCGAATAGGCATAAGTACGATTTGGCATATGTGCGCTGAATAAAATTGCAAGTATTGGAATAAGTGCAAATTGTTATTTTGCTCTTATGCCAATTCGCACTTATGCCATTTCGCAGTCTGCCAATGTTTGTAAATTTATTCAGCGCACTTATGCCAAATCGCACTTATGCCAGTTTGCTCTTATGCCAGTTTTTGCAACTGCTTCGCACTTATGCCAGTTCGCACTTACACCATTACACTTACACCGATTCGTGCTTATTCAGCCTCCCAAAAAAAAAATCTCCTCATCATAGATTTAAATATGCAAAAGCAAAAGAAAAAGGGAGGAATGATTTTGTTTAAAAGAACTCTTTCACAAGTGTGTTTAAAATTTCTGTTTCCTAATAATTCAATATGATTCTTTAGACGTTTTTTTAATTTTTTTTAGCCATTTAATTTAATAAAAACCTTTAGACTTAAATTTTGTTTACGAATATCATATTGTTTACTATAATCTCTCTATAAATTGTTTACAATCTTTATTAAAAATATTACATTAATTATGTTTGAAAAAATAATAAATTATAATAAAGAAGAAAATTATGTTAAGAATAAGATGTGTTCATATTAAAGAGATGTGTTCATATTAAAGAGAATGTTAAAAAAAAAACATCTGAGCAAATTTTTTTTTGATTAAAACTAATTAATAAATCTATACCAAGAAAAACAAATCTTGTTGTTTTAGTCGAAGCTTGTCTTCTCCATTTTCTGCGGTATTTGGGGTCTTTAAAATAAACAGGATTTTCCAGGCGGATTATACAGACTTGATAATTTATTCAAGTGCATTTAATTCATAGGAGTTTTAGTACATGACGTCATATATTTTTTTTTAAACATCAATTATTATTTTTTACATTTAATTTCCAAATCATATTCATTATCATATTTTAAAGTTCTAAAACGTGTTTGTAAAAAACAAAATAGTATTTTATTTGCACAACTTTTATTAAATAATTATCTAGACCACATGTATTTTAATTTCTTTTGTTATAAGTTTTTCTTTCAAAATATAAGATAAAAAAATTTTAAACCTAAAATAATAATGCACTTTTATTAATTTACTTTGCAAATATTAAAAAAAAATTATTAACGCATTTTTTCTCTGATTTTCACAAATGTATTTTTTGGTATTGTGGCGATTTTATTTCATTGTTTATATTTCCATTATTATAACATCCAATTTAATTATGGCGGGGGCTTAAAAATTAAAAAATATATATTAATTTTTGTTTTACGGACATACATGGAAACCTAATTAACTTGAATGTTTTTAAAACATCTTGCGCAAGAATAAAAAAAATATTTGTGAACACTATAAACGCGCCAAATTTACAAACAAACTAATTATATTGGTTAAAAAAATACGCTAAGCATATAAAAAATACTAGAGTATTCTGTTAAAATGTTTTAGCAATTGTATTATTCACTATTGTTGTGTTTTGAGATATCTAGCATAAATTGTTTTGAGAATATATTATCAAATGAACTATTACTTTAATATTATGGCTCATTCTCGAAGCCACATCTGCAAAACCTAAATCTTTTAAAATATTATTATTTGTTTACAAAAATAAATGTTTTATAATATATATTTTTTAAATTGTCAAAATTTTGAAAGTTAATTACAAATTATATATTTTATTAGTATATTCTTATTTTTTATATCTCTTCCTAGTGCTTGGTTTAATTAATTGTAGATAGTGCTTGGTTTAATTAATTGAGATATTATTTTTGTAGCTATGAGAGCCGTGGCTACATGGTCCACCATCGCCGTGGCCCATGTAGCCACGGCTCTGATAGCTACAAAAAAACATAAAATATTTTTCAATGTGAAGATTTCAGAAAATAAAATAACTAGCTATTTTAGTAAAATTTAAAAGTAAAATTTTTGAAGAATTTCTAGAATGTTTTCAATGACGTCATGTACTAAAACTCCTATGAATTAAACGCGCTTGAATAAATTATCAAGTCTGTATAATCCGCCTGGAAAATAGCGTTTATTTTAAAGACCCCAAATACCGCAGAAAGAGACAAGCTTCGACTAAAACAACAAGATTTGTTTTTCTTGGTATACATTTATTAATACAGGGTTACCACTAATAAAAATGAGGGTAAAAATAAGGATTTTAAAGAGATTTAAGGAGGAATTTCCCTAATTTCTAAGGAGATTTAACCCAAAACGGCAAAATTTTCATTAAAAAATAAGGAGAATTAAGGAGAAAGTTGTCACTTTTTGCACGGAACTTTTCTTTCAAAATTGATTGTCAAGTGCCAAAATACATAAAGGATGCATTGCATATACCAAATATACATTTTTTTAGCATTTCAAATAATAAAATAAATAGTTATTAGCATCTTTATCAATTAGTAAAACCTATTCACTTCAATAAAGTTTTCAAAAAAAGAAAAAAAAGAAAATAAGGAGAAATTAAGGAGAAATTAAGGAGAAATGACAAATTTCCAACTTTTTTAAGGTTATTTAAGGATTTTAAAGGAGGTTTTTATTTTTTAAGGATTTTTAAGGCTTTTAAGGAGGAGTGGGTAATAAGTTTTAATCAAAAAAAACATGCTCAGACGTTTTTTTTTAACATTCTCTTTAATATGAACACAACATGTCTTGGGACTTTGTGGTCCCTTTAAGAAAGAAAATTAAAATATAATTTTTTTCAAATACCGAATTCAGACTTTATCAGTAATTTTTGATATATTACACCTTTTTTGCATTTAAGTTGGTTTTTACTTTTAGTTAATTTTTACTTTAATTTGGCATTTTTTCATTTTAATTTGGCAATTTTCACTATACAAAATAAAGTGAAAATTGCCAAACTAAGCCATTGACATTCCAAATTTAAAAATTTTAAGTGCAAATGCTTTATACAACAAATTTGTCAATATTTTAAACTGAGGTCATAAATATTTTATTTCAATAATTATACAAAAATATTAAGGGAAATTTTAAAGTGTCTGGGATAAATTCATTAAAAAGGAAATAGTTAAAATAATAAAGAGGAAAAATTCTTTGGAGAATACGTTCACATATTAAAGTTAAAGTAAAAAAGTAAATTAGGAGCCAAGTTAAATTATATAAAACAATTATCATTTTAAATGGCAAATTAAGAAATATAGTAAACAAAGAAATAAAATGTTAAAAAATTTAGGAAAGTTAAATTATATGAAACAATCATTTTTTAAATGTCAAAAGAAACCCTATAGCAATCTATGCATATATATCTTCTCCATTTATCAGTTTAAAATTTCTCCATTTAAAATTTAATTTTAAAATTTAATTCACTTTAAAATTAATAGATCATACAATTCATACTTTTTGATTAAATTTTTTTAAACTCAATTAAAAAAAAACTATGGATGATACAATCATTGATTCTGTTAAAACAAAGCATTACTATTTGTTTTAAGATCCATATATTGTGCTATGATACCATACTAGTATCCATGATATTAGTATAAAAAATTGAAATCAATTGATTTTTTAGAGTCTGACTTATAAAATAAGCTTTTGGTTTCTTTTTTTTTTTTGTATTTGCAACGTAAGTAATATTATTCATTATTTAGTCAAAGAGTAATTGATTATGCTGTATATTGACCAAGACAAGCATCAAACCTTGGAATATGGACCACAAAGACTTTGTACTTTATTTATTCCTCTAGATGCTCGTGTTAAAAATTAAGGATACATTGTAAGAGTAATTATTAAAACAGGGTGGCCAGCCAAAAGCTAATTTAAAATTCCAGGTTAATTTCATACAATTTTTTTAACATGTTTACAAAATGAATTAAACTTATAAGCAGTATGTTAAGTTGTGCTCTTATTGTATTATCTTCCATAAACCCATCAGAGAAATTTGCCATGAGTATTTAAGAAAGCAGAACATTTTGAACAACCAAAAGTCTGTCTTCGCACAAGCCTCAACTTGGTCTTATAACTATTATAAACAACACTTTCTTTAGCTTCATCAAATTCAGCAATTTCTTTAGCTTCATATTGAAATTTCTCCTATTGAATTTATTATATTTTTATCTGATTGTTATGACAGATGATGTCTTTAGAACAAAAGATTTTACAGTTTTTATGACTTGTTAGAGTGTGATGATGAAGTTATGGTAGATTATAAACTTTAAATCTGTGAAGTTTTTGTTAAGGGGTTGTACTTTATTTATTCCTCTAGATGCTTATGTTAAATATTAAGGATACATTTTAAGAGTAATTATTAATATAGGGTGGCCAGCCAAAAGCTAATTTAAAATTCCAGGTTAATTTCATACAAGTTAAAAAATATTTTATATTGTATATATATAGATACACTAGGTTATCAAACACTTCTATTTAATCTCTTTCTTAGATTGTTCAAGTTTAGTGAAATATCAAGCTTTTTAATTTCCAGTTCTTTTTCTAAAATTGTGTTTCTAAAGGAATTTGCTTTCTTAAGGAATTTAATTTCTTAAGGAATTTACTTTCTTAAGGATAGTGAAGTTTTGCTTTTCTTATGCTTTAATGCTTAACTTGTTAGCATCAGTTTTAATAACTTTGATGCATTTTCAGGGCTCAATTTAACGGTCGGACATTGGACAATGTTCGGTTAAAACCTCAGATTGTCCGATCAATTTACAAAGTAATTGGACATTTTGACCGACAGGAGTTAAATTCTACAAAATAAAGCTTGGACAGAAATGGCATGTGATCGAACGCTATTGCTGACCACGCAAATGATTTTTTTTTGTTTCAACTTGACCATGACTGTTTAGATGTTTTGATGATTTAAACATTTGAGAAATACGCTGAAAAAAGAGATGTCAAGCTAAACTTAAACTAGGAAAAAAAAATGAAAAAACTAAAAGAATGTGCAAAACAATTCCTTATGAAAAAGAAAATATATTATCTTTAAAATAAAACTAAAAAAACTCGAAGTTAAAATTACTTTTTTGTTATGTTTTTAATTGTTTTTGAAAAAAATTACTTTAAAATTCATCTTTTAAAACATTTAATTACACAAAATGCTTTTACAAATTACTTCTATCGGTTGTTTAGTAAATGAATAAATTTTATTTAAATTATTGAAAAGTGAAATTTAATATTGGAAAGAAAAATATATAATATTTTTTGATTGTATAAACATTTCTTTAAAAGTTGCAAAAAAAATTGTTTAAAAAAATAACGTAGTCTTTTTAAAATAGTAATTTTTAATCATTTCATGCTTTAAAAAATAAAGCAATTAAATCATGGGAAGACTTAATTCAACTTATTCATAATTTAAAGTAACTTGAAAAATAATCTTATAAAAGAATTTTAAAAAGACATGGAAAAATAGTTTCAAACGCTTAAATTTGTCTTAAAAAATACATACCTACTAAAAAAAAAAATTTATATAACATTCAATTTATTTATAATGCATTTATTTTACATCAAAACAGCCGTTGTCAAATTGTAAACAAACAAAAAAAAGCGCTGTCAGTTACAGCATGAAAATCTATCTAAAAGTTTATCTAAAAAAAAACTACAATATTATATTGAAACTTTTTTATTAAAAATCTGTGATGAAATATTCTAAATAATAAGGAAAAAAACTACAATTTCACTAGACTAACATTAAATAAACTGAATAAAATGACAAAGATTTCAATTGCATAGCTTGGTTTCGTAAAACCGTAAAAATTTTAAAAATTTGATCAGAAACTGTCCGACCCAACCAAGTTTTGATCGGCCATTTTGTCTGGGACCTTTTAAAAAATTGAATTGAGCCCTGCATTTTGCAAAAAAAAAAATCTGTTTCTTTATAATTAAAAATTCTTGATCAATCAAAATCAGTTAATTGATTATTTCATATACCTTTAAATGATCCTTATTTTCCTTCAACACTGAATTGTACCTATGTTATGCTAACCTTCAGCTTTTTAAAAGATTACTGGGAAGCTCATAATGATGAATAAACATGTCACAAGAATTGATGTGGTTATAAAATGTTCTTTGGGAAACAAGAGATCTTTCTTGTAGATTTTCTACTAACAACTGCTTGTTAACACTAAATCCTTGTTCAGGCCTTGTTAAGAAGTGTTTCTGTATTTGAGTTTTATGCACGTATTCACGATTTCACGTACGCATTTCGCAATTTATGTTACGCAAAAACTTTTTTCAATAAGTTTATTTTAAACAGTCTTTTTAAAACAGATTAAGCAGAAAACATTAAACTGTAATTAATTGTTGTAAAAAAATATTTGTGCAATATTTTTTATTATTAGATAAAAAAACAGATAGATATCCTTTTTTCTATTTTCTATTTTTTTTTTTTTTTTTAAATATTTATAATTTATTTTATTAAATTTGAATTAATTTTATTATTATTCATAGTTTTAGTAATTTATTTGATTAAATTTAATTAAAATTCTTTTAAAAATTTAAAAACGCTCCGCTTTACAATTTTTTTTACTGATAAAATTTCCAAAATTAATGTTAATGTAAAAAAAAAATTTAATAAATTTAATTCAAGTAACTTGTTCGCATTACATATAACTTCATTTTAATTTCAATTAAGTTTCAGGTAAGTTCCAGTTCCAAATACTAGTCTAAATAATGCGTTTTTGTGGTTAATAAATGACGTCATACAAAAAAGTTCTTTCAAACTCGAGTTTAAATGTTGTTTGGGTTTTCCCTTTGCCGTTAAGTTTTATGCAGTAGAATTTTTTTTATAAAACGAACCAAACTTTCAACCGATTAAAAATAATGCAATCAATAAATAAACTCTTTAAAAGCCCAACTTATATTTATTTTGTTTTAAAAACAAAACTAATACTAGTGCTATAGATATAAGATACGTAAATTTTAAAATTATACTAATATTTGTTAAAAACAAGTTCTGCTAATAACATCTTATAACCGAAAATGCTATTTTTTTTTTTGGATTTAGTAAGAAATAGTAAAAATACTTAAGGTTTCACGGTACATAAAAATAAAGTATTTTAATGGAAACAAAAAAAAAGTAAAGCCAAAAAGCGGTAATCTTCATTTAATTACAATTTTTAATTTAATCAAAAGCCAGTTAATGCAAAGGCTTTTTAAAAAGGGGAAAACACAATCTAAATGTGTAGAAGAAGTACACTTAAATCCCTTTAAGAAAATCAACCATAAAAAAGTGTTTTTTGTGCAATTCAGATCCTTTCATTGCTCAATACCATAAAAACAAACAGATCCAAAAAATCTATTCTACCTGCAGATTTAATTACTCTGTAGATAGAACCCAGCATCTAGTGCTCTTTATGACATTTTAGTGTCATCTTTGTTATAAATGTTTTTCCAAATAATGTGTTTAGTAATAAATGAATAATTACCTATTACATTTTATTTTTGTCAATATATATTAAAAACTTTAATATATATTGATAAAAATAAAAAAAATTATATATTAAATTATTTTATTATAGTTTTGAATCAAAATTTTTTTGTTTTGATTTAATATGATTTTTTGGCTGGAAATTTGCCATTCTAACCATTCTAACCTCTAGTGTTGCTAAATTATTACTAATTACTAAAATTATTAATTGCTAAATTATTACTAAAATTATGTAATAGAAGTCAAAGTTTTTTCAAGATTTTTCTTTTGCTTATTTTGTTTTTCAATATAATAAACTGATTGTAATAAAAAAAAAATAGTTAAACTATTTTTTAAGGGTTTTGGCTAAAAAAATGCAACTTTTGACCTACTGTGTATTGTTACTATAACATAGTAACATGTTTGGTTTATTTATGCCAAAATTATGCAATGGCATGATCAGACTTTTACATTTTTTTTTATATTAGTTAACCACAATCTACACTGTTTCATTAATTGGTTGTGAATGTTTGCAGTCACATTTTATTGCACAAATAAATTTATTAATATGCTAATTTTATTTATAAAAACTCAAAGCTTTTTAATTTTTTCTTTTTAAAACCAACCAATTGTTAAGTTAAACAGATCACTCAGTTTGCAAAAAACATACAAGCAACTGACTTTCACATTGCTCCAAAAATATGCTAATTCCTTAAATTTTTCTTTAACTCTCATACTTTTCATTTTATCAATTATATCTAAACTCAATGTTTATCTCAAACAATATCAGTAATCTAAGCAAAAGAAAATCTTTAAAAATCAGTTAAATATTTCCTTATAAAAAATCTTCTATTCATAGAGGTTTATTTTTATTTTAATTACACTATTTAGATCTGCAATTTATTGAAATATTTTTTCTTCTTAAAAATGAGATAACTATTGAATGATACATGAACAATTCAATTATTTTTTTGTTTCTGCAACATAATTATTGTTGATAACACAAAAGAATAGGTATTTAGAAGTTGGGCTTGTTCTCTTAATTTTAATAACTATTTCAATATTTTAAACTGAAATTTTTTGTTATTGCTATTAAAAATGGTAACCCCTTGGAGTGATTTATGAATAACGAAAATTATAACATAGTATAAATTTAAAGAAAATTATAACATAGTATAAATTTAGCCGAAATTTTATGATAATGATGATTAAATATAATTTTATATTCTTTCTTGAATTTTAAATTTTAATTCCTCTTTTTTTTTTGAATTTCTAATAAAGTTATTTAATTGTTCAAAATTAGATCTATAAAATTGAACTATGCATACAACTATGCATGCAAGGGCATTCAACTTTTTCATATGGGTGAGAGTTTTATTGAAAAGTTAGATAAGATAAAAAAAGCTAAAACTAAATTAAAAAAAAAAAAAAGTTACTTGATATGAACGAATAAGAGAATAAACAGCAAGATGATCTTGAATAAGATTTTGAACTTGCTCAGATGAAGGAGCATTGCCAGGTGTCTGTTGCATTGTTACTTCTGTTACATAACGCACAGGATGACCATATATTTCTGGAGGTGATTGATAAGCCTGTCCAGGTAGTGCGCCTTTTTGAGCATTTCGAAAAAAGACATCCCATGACTTATAATTAAAAAATCATAAATATTAGGAAACATTTATAAACAAAAGTTTTTAAAATATACTATTATAGTACTAAAAAAAATTACACAGGTACATATTAAATAATTTTAAGATAATTAATAAAAAATATATACTTTATTTGACTTGTTTTATTTATAATAAAAAAAAAGTCACAAATAACTAACTTAAATAAATAGTATTAATAAAACCTTATGGACAGATTTTGGGTCAGCTTGCCATGATTCATACATTTCTTCAACATAAGAACCACTTGTTCCATTTATAAAAGGCTCAGCACTTACGCTTGAAGCATAAAATCGTACAGTCGGACTTGTACATGGAAGAGACTTTCTTAGGTTGGATGTTGATACAGGTTTAAGGAAATAACCTTTTATGATACCAGGAAGTTTACAGCGCACTGCATACATTGTTAATTTTATAAAAAGCTACACATGTAATTAATCAAACTGACCTATAATGTGCACAGTAAAAGTAATTGAGTTATTAAAGGCCTTGAATCTACTGTTGAATTAGGACATGAACTTTTTTTAAATGATAATTTAAATGATTTTTTAAATGATTTTTTTGAATGATAATTTAACAGTATTTATACATATAACATATAAATTATCATTTATTAGAATGTATATTTATAACTTTTTAAAAAAAATCATACTTTTTGTTAGCGAACCACAAATTTTAATTTTTTCTTTCAACAAATTAAATATTTTAAAAATATTTATAATCATTTAATTTTTATCATATTTTTTTAAATGCAAAAATCATAACTGAAAACCTATAATGTAAAAAATAATTTAAAACTAAAGAGTTATAGTGATAAATTTTAAGTAACATTTATTTTAATATGTATCATTATTTAAAAATTATCATTTTAAAATAGAATTGAGAATTCCCTTACATTAACATTTTTAAGAAATAAAAAAAGGAAATGACATTTTCAGATCCTTGACGTTGATCCAAACGTTGACGAAAACAAACGCTTACTAAACTCAACGCTTACAAAACTCAACGCTTACAAAACTGAATGCTTACAAAACTTAATACATGGTGGTCCTTTGACTTGACTTTTACAAACTCATAATATGCCTCGAACACAATCAAAATAAAATGTTATACAAAAACATTAACAAAAAAAAGTGTTTTTTCTATAAATTTAATTTAATTCATCAAGTTCGCACAAGAAAAATTTTGGGTATGTAATGATGCATTTTAAACAACCACCATACTACCGATGATTGACGTGTAACCTGACATCACACGTTATAAGCTTAATCGTTACGATAACATTAACCGACAAGAAGTTATATGTGTTTTTAAAAATAATTTGAACGATAACTTAATGGGCGTCTACTCATAAATCGTCTGCATTTTAAATTAATTTTATGCTTTTCCAGTAAGTATGTCAAGGTTTACGAGAAGCGTTTTTAAAAATCGTAAGTTTTTTACGTCGTGGAAAATTACGACGTTAAATAATTATTGTGGACACAAAATTTTTTTTTATCCTCTTTAATAAAACCCAAAAACACATTAAGCTTTTGTTTTATTTAGTACCACCTTTTTTTTTTTTTTTTTTTTAATTTTGTAATTCAACGATCTATTTCCTTAACAAAAACTAAATGCTTTTTAAAAATTTATAAAAATTTGATTCATGGTTTTTGTTCAACAACAAGTTCAACCCCCTTGGACGAAAAAATTTCGGCGCACTAATCCAATTATTTAGATTTAAGGCACTTTACAAAAAAAAAGGTCTTTGCAAAAATATTTATTTCAAAACAAAATAATTTACATACATCAAACGTTTTTTAAATGTTTTTTATTTTTATTTTGCGGCATTTGCGCTATGAGTCTTTTAGTAATTATCTTAACATCTTTAGAATGTGATATAATAAATTATATAGTTTATTATATCACATTATATAGATACTTGAATAAGTACATAAATAATTTAATTTGGGTTTATCCTAGTGATTATCAAAGAATTTTAATGATAAAAAATGATTTTTCTTTTTCCGGCTCAATTATTGTCTTTAGAATGCGTTGCTTTTGTGAAATTGTTTTATCACTTATTAAATTAATGTGCATAAAATGGAAATTCTTTAACTAATTCTGGTTCTTAATCAATTTGATAATCATTAGATATTCATTATTGTTTAGTAAAAATTTCTAAATTCATCAAAAACTTTGGAGGCAGCAAGTTATTGTTACGATAGCAGGGGCTTTTTTAAGCACATATTCTCATCTTTATTTCTACTAGAAGCATATCTACAATCACATTAAAAGTATTAACAAAGAGATCTGTATTTTTATCAAAAATGTTAATGTTCATTTGCCAATTTTTTTCCTCTTAACGCTTTTTGTATTTTAAATTCAAATCTTTCCAATAACTCTTCTTCTTCCGATAACTCTTCTTCTTCTGATAACTTTTCTTCTTTCGTTCTAATTCAAAAATTCTATAATCTGGCGAACCTGTTTTAATATTTACTAGAAGGTAATACCTTTAAAAGGTATTACCTTCTAGTAAAAGTATTAAAGGTCAGGTGCACAACTCCCACGTATCCTTTACTTGTTTTCAATAAGTTGCAGAAAATTGTAGAAAGTAACGATCTTAACCTCTATGGAGATCTTTATTTACCATTTTCTCTTGCGTTTCTAGAGTGTTATATGCGTGCATAGCATAACAAAGTGGCGACATAAAAATTGACTTTAAATATTTTGGGTCTTTTAATATTGAAGCTTCAATTTTTTTTCTTCAATTTTGCTTTTTTAACTTTAAGTTTTGAAATTTAGTTTTGTTCTTTTACTGAAGCTATCTTTATTTTATTTGATATTGTGGCACAATGTAATAACAAAAAAATAAAATACAATAAGTATTATTTATTAATATTAAGATTGTTGTCACAATTTCTATTTCGATGTTTTGTAAGATGATATTAGATTTGTTAATAATCTTCAATATTTTTATATAATGATAGCATTAAATCAATAGCTAGAGGTTTAAATTGTTTTTCAAAACTATCTGCTTCAAGCCTAGCAAAACATTTATGTATTGTATCTTTTGATTTATGATTTAGTCTTTTTTTAAATGAGTCATGCCCGACAGGTAATACATTCACAAATTCTATCATTTTACCAGCCGTGGTGTAGTGGTTAGACTTCTGGTATAAGAACTTGAGGTTCATGACTTGAAGCCGACTCTGGCCATATATATTCGTTACTGGTAAGAAAGGAAGCGTTAACTTCCTGGTTAAATGCTATTTCACGCTGTTCTGTGAAAAGCTATCAATATTTCCTCGAATCTTTATTGATCAAATTGAAATAAAAAGAGGTTACCTTACTAAATTTTTAGATTTTTATTTTGGTGATAACATCACTTGCAATCATCATATTGGTTATATAAGCACTTAGGTTTCTAAAAGCGTAGGAATTTTATATAAAGCACGAATCTACGTCAATAAGAAAAGTTTAATCCAACTTTGTTGTTCATTTATACACAGTTCCCGGTGGGGAATCAGCTAGCAAATAGCTAGCTATAATCGTAACGATGAAGACAGCGATTTGGCCACAAGGATCGCTAGCTTTTTTAAGTTAGCAAAAAGCTATCAATTTTTGTACAGATAAAGACAGCGATTTGGCATGAGGACAGCTAGCTTAATAAGATAAAGACCCACTGGCTATTGTAGCTAGTGTCATATTGTAATAAAATCGTTGTCTAAAAAACTAGCGACACATTGCTACAAAATCGCAATGTTTAAAGTTCAATTATCCTCATAATTATAATAGGCTCAACACTAAAAATTGAATTTTTAAAGATGTTAAAGATATTAGCAAAAATTAAAATATGAAAAAAAAAATTGCTTCAAAATCGCTATAAAGCTAGCTAGTCGCTAGTAGCTAGCTCATTTCCCACCGGGTTATTTAAACATTGCTTGGAGAAGTACAGAAAAAAGTAAGATGCAACAGCTCTATCGCCGTCAGAAACGTGCAATCCGTATAATTTTGCGGATCGCTTCTTTCACTCAAATAGTTATTTTATGGAAATGAGAATTCTAAATATATATGAGCTAATGTTTTATGTTCTGTATAAATGAGGGAAAATAACATATCCCTATCTGTTTACTGACCTATGACCTTTTTAGTCTAAAACCTATTAATAAGTTCATTTTGTGAAATAAGATTTATTTAAATGAACCTTTTTGTCACACGAATTTTAATCAATTTTATAATGGCTATCAAATACCACATCTTTGTAATAAAACTATTTTGCTGAACTTTGGTTTTGCTTAACCTTTGTCTATTTATCTTTTTTTTTTTAAATATAAAAACATTCTTTCAATATATAATATATTAAGTTATTATTAGTATCAGTGGGCATGCATCGTCCGGGGGACGTCTGTAAAACGTTTCTCTACGTAGTACAATTTAATAAATGTATCTTTTTTTTTTAACTTTTTATATACTTCTTTACGTTTAAATAATTTTACGTACGTTTAAATTTATTTTTTTTGTATCACTTCCCGGTGGGAAATTGGCTAGCGAATAGCTAGCTATAATCGTTACGATAAAGAAAGCGATTTGGCCACGAGGATCGCTAGCTTTTTTAAGTTAGCGAAAAGCTATCGATATTTGTAAAAATAAAGACAGCGATTTGGCTACGAGGACAGCTAGCTTAATAAGCTAAAAACTCACAGGCTATTGTAGCTATCGTCATATCGTAATAAAATCGCTATCAAAAAAATTTTGGTATGTAGCTATCAACCAGCTATAGATTTATAGATATTTTGTAGTTAGCTATAAAGCGACAATATGTTCTCTAGTTCCATCAACTGAAATTCATTTCTAGATATGTTCTAGCTCCATCAACTAATACTCATATCTAGTTCCATCAACTAAAATTCATTCTCGTTTTACTCGTCATTCAGCTAAGTCTCATTTGTTTACTGTATCTGTCTTTGCATGCTCTAAAAACTTTTATTCATCTAGTTTTTTTCCCCGCACTTTAATCCTTTGGAACTCTCTCCCATCTTCATGTTTTCCTGACTCATACAACCTTCAACTTTTCAAGTCTTCTGTCAACCGTTTCCTTGCTCTATAATTCTGTTCTTTTTCTTCCTAGTAACTCCCAACTTAATAGTGATTGCTTGCAGCCTTGTTGGGAGTGAATGCAAATAAAATAAAATAAAAATATAGCTTGCGACACATTGCTACAAAATCGCAATGTTTAAAATTCAATTATTCTCATAATTATAATAGACTCAACACTAAAAATCGAATTTTTAAAGATGTTAGAGACATTAGTAAAGAATAAAATAAGAAAAAAAAATCGCTTGAAAATCGCTATAAAGCTAGCTAGTCGCTAGCTCATTTTCCACCGGGTTGTTATTGTAAATTTGTAAAATTATAATTTTTATTATTGGTTACATAAAATTGTAACCAAATTTACATTTGTTTTTTTTTATTTACATCTGTTTAC